TATGTGGGTACTGATACACGAAGAACGATATAATTAAATATACATATAAAATGTTTGCGTATACTATCTTAAGAACCTGACATTGCTTGCCACTCATCATTCCTTTCAATTTTGCGTCGTTTCCTAATTACTCAATCCAATATATTTATTGACATACCAACCCGTACGTACAAGTTTTCTGTCACTCACCTTTTTCGAGACAGCCTTAAATTACAACCGCTTCATTTTACTCTACATATTGATAATAATTGTTACTAAGGCAAAAGCTTACTACAAATCTAAACTCAAATAATAAAATTCATCCTAAGGCGAGGCAATTGTAAACCGCAATGATAAACAAGAACTAGAAGAAACGTCGCCTTTAAAAATATATCCTGGAAATATTATGGCACATTACACAAAGTGCAGTGCTGCTATGAAATCTTTGTTATGTAACACGTTCTAGAAATAGTATGAAATATAATGTGTGCTAACAGTAATTTTATGGGAGCTCGGCTCAGATGAGATGGCTGCTGTTGAAATTTTTAGACAAAAGAACGGAATTATCTCGAAGCCACGCCTCGTTGGCTTAGAATAGGTCACGTTGTTCAAGAGGAATTCATACTTCTAATTTTTTCGAGTGATAGTGGTTTTTACAGGACAGGACACCTTACCGATTTATCATTGGCGTAAGTAAAATCTACATAGCCGCCCTATGTAGATTTTACTTACGATTACGATTTCACTATGAATTATGTTAAACTTTTTGAATATTTTCTTTATTTTTATTTGATTTATCAAATCTTAAATTGTGATTTTGGTTATAAGATGCTGTTATGGCCAATGTCATATTTGATTTAAATGCTTCCGTGTTTATATAATTTCACAGTCTGAAAGTCTAAATAGCCGGTCTGAATAGCGGCGCGAGTTTTACCGGAGGCCTAATTCTTCCCATCAACCAATCCCTCCCCAATCTTAAAATCTCCAAATCCCCAATTCCCAAATGGTCGGCAACGTACTCGTAACTTCTTTGTTGTTATCCTTCAGCGTCGCTGATTGCTTTACATGAGGTAATCTGTCAGCTCGTTTGCCGACCTACACCTATCTGTATCACGTAAAAAAAATACAAAAGGGATCATGGTATCTTAACCACTTTCAACAGTCTTATTTGAACTCCACATTATCTATGAACAAGTGGCATCAAATACATACTCAAGTGTTTAGGTACTTAAATACAGTATGAGTAAAATTCTTGAGACATAGGCAGGTACATAATTGTAAGAGATTACGCTTCGATTGAATCAATAAATAGATTTGAAGGGCTTTTGATAAATTAGTTCTGTAAGAGCAATTTCTTGAGTACACTTTCTTTTAAGTAATTTTGGTAGTGAGGTATAGAATTTGTTGAATTCTTTTTTCTTTGTGAATGGTTCAGAATTTTTTTATTAGATATTATGTTGTGTTTGATTGAATTCAAAGTTGATTTATACATCATTGTAATGTAAACATATTTGTCTGTTTCCCAAAGATCTAGGTTTATTTCTGACACTTGTTTTAACACTTCATCTCGTCACAAAAAAGCAACCTCAAAAAAGCGAGGCACACGATGTTAAAAATCGAATAAATTTCACCACACTATACCCATAGCCTCACTTTGGTATTTTTTAACAATGACAAAGGAGGCCTTACGCTGTGTTTTCGCAAAATATAAGTTTAAAATTAAAATACTCCTCTTAAACATAATGACTCATTGAAAAACAAACAACAGACAATTATTTTGTCATTTATATAATATGTAGTTACAAAGTTAATATGACTTCATGTCATTCATAATAAGCGTAATTATATAATTTTTTTATAATTATCTTTAAATAATATAGCTATATAGCTACATTAAATAGGTAAGTACATAATATGCATAAAACAAAAACTTTTAAAACAATTACCTAGGTAAGTGCGCGCCTCGACGAGTCAATAGACCACCTCAAACGGGGCTCAACAGAGGGCGTACGTTGACGTGTTAAAGCGTCAATCTTCCAGGCGAGAAAGAGGAATGAAGCTATACACCATTTATAGCTCCATCTCTCTTTCTCGTAGGCTTACAGGGCTGATGTTCAGCCGGGGTCGCAGGACCAACTTAATAAGGTATACCGTGTATTGAAATTTGTTAAAAATAATTATTAATTCAATCCTGAAGACCTCAAGGGTCGTTTTTCCGGGGTTGCGGGGTAAGCGCAATGAGGCACCGCGAAATCGGCCCAGAGCAGGAGATGGAACAGGGGGTTTTTAGTCACTAAGTGTCTGGCACTCGCTCCCGACCCTGTCCGGTCCTGGGCGGGAGAAGCCATTTAATGATTTTCCCCTCACAAAAAAATAAAAGGTCGTTTTTATTAAGAAAACCTTAAATGCAAATTGTACCCTCAAAAAAAATCAGGTAGGTACTACTGTGCACTCATATATAGATAGATAGATACATAGTTACATCTAGATAAGTATAATATAAATATTTATGTATATTATACAAAGCACGGTTGTCAAGCATGATTGACATTCAAATCTGCGATGACCTTTAGATTTTTTGCGGACATAAATAAGGCATATGTTACATTGATGCTATTTATTACAGTTAATATTTTTTTTGTCCAAAAATATTCATGGTTGATGGCAAATATTGATGGCAACTGCTAAGCAAGGATTTCCGAGATTGATCTCCTATTCAGGTAGCTTATTAACGGGACTTTTAAAGACTTATTTATCAAACGCCTTACCATCAACGATTGCATCACTGCTTACCATAAGGTGGGATCGCAGTCAAGCACTAATTTATTGCAAGTAAAAAAAAACTTATAATAATCTAGATAAAACGTCCATCAGGTGGGATCGCAGTCAAGCACTAATTTATTGCAAGTAAAAAAACTTATAATTATCAAGATAATAACGTTTTATCTAGATAATTATAAGTTTTTTTTTACTTGCAATAAATTAGTGCTTGACTGCGATCCCACCTGATGGTAAGCAGTTGAACTTAAAAACATTTGAAAGTTGAAACAAAATAGTCACTGGACTCACACTACGATACGTGAGAGCGAGTGTCAGATTCTTAATGAGTAAAAACCAGTCCATTCCTTCTCCTGCTCCTGTCCAGGGCAGCGGTACATCATCGCGCTTGCATCCGCAACTCCGGACACTGGGACGGTGATGTATGTAGGTTCTAGTCTTTTAGCTGACATTCAAAGGTGTGCAAAAGACACAAAGGCACGTGCACATTGTGCACAGATGCTCAACAATTTTTTTGGAATGTTAGTTCTAACCAGCAGACCAATCTCCTGATATAACAGAAGAATTAGATACGTTGTTGCAGAATTAATGATTTGGCAATTGAGGATTGAGTAGGAATTAGATCTGTCTAATCTATTATAATTAAGTAAGACTTGTAGAATATAGGTACTTGTGTCGGCTGTGAGCTGTCATGCTCACTCAGAGATCTCATTGGCGGTGACACGGGCACTGGATCGCCCAATTCCCTATAATATGGTTGAGTTGGGCGGTGCTGGTGTACGTTTCATGTTCGTGTACGGGCGCCGCCTATTGGGACTGGTCATCCCCAGGCTGTCTAAATATGTTGTCCTTGAGGTTCACTTCTTTTTCGTACTTTTTGCCTGAACATTAGTGTTACATTGTTCTCACATATCAGAACCGACTAAATGATGTAACAAAGAAATGTATTGTAAAACTGATTGAAAAAGAGTAACCATGGAGTTTCTTGCTCGTTCTTCTCCATGGGAATCTACACTTTGGAACGAGCAAATAGCTTCACTAGAGGACAGACGGACAGACTGACACGCTTAATTTTAAAGCTCTTTTTATATACTTTTTTCCTTTTTTGCTTGCTTGACGTTCAAAAGTGCCTACTGTGGTCTAATTGAAATAAATGATTTTTGACTTTTTTGACTTTTGTGGTAAACCGATTCGTTGATTCACGCTAGTTTTCTGTGAGGCTGTGCTATCATTTTCAGTCGAGCCGACTCCTTCGTTCCAAAGCACTTCAGATTTCTACATTTCAAATTGAATTTGTTTTCATGATGGATTTTGTACCAACCATTACAAATAAGATACATTTACGAGCCTAGTATATAATTTATGTTTTGTTTTTATAAATATAAAATAAATAATAATAACAGCAAAAAGAAATACAAATGGTCGTCAACATTATTTTATTAAGTATATTATTCATAACAGTACAAAACAATATAAAACCTAAACTAATTTATAATCACATTAATGCACTTATATTATAATGTTTATTTAAATTTACGGTAGTACCTATTATTTAAACACAACATTAACAATTATCACATTTGCATCATAACAATTATTTATAACTATTTAGAATTACAAGTTGTTAAAATCTATAAATAACATGAAATAAATAACTATATATTTATGGGAAGTTTATTATTTTGTGTTATTCTGGGCCTACAGCCACCACTGACCAAAGGCCTCTTCTTACAGGGAGAAGATTTGAGCAATTATCACAATTATCACTGACTGCGTCTAGAGCAAATTGTCATTAAGTTACCTAATGTAAATACATAATCATTTATTTTAATGATTCTGATAAGTGGCGGTGAAAAACGTCATTATACAAGAAAAAGGTTTTTAAGTCATTACATTTTTTTCTTGACTATGAGAATGAAGCTGCAAGGAGATGCTAACAATATTAGTCGATCAATATTTTTTGATAATCGAACTATTACAAGGAAGAAATTTGTAAGTTACTACCTATGTAAGAGGTGATCTTTGGAACCGCTGATCGGATTTGCAAAATTCTAAATTCTTGAGCACTAATAGACTATAAAACATCACGCTATGATCGAATGGATCAAATGTAGCCGAGCAGCGAGTGAAACCGCGGGAGAGTAGCTAGTATTTCATATACTTAATTCAATAGAAAAATGTTATTTAGCGTTATTACTAAAAATAATAATATTTACAAGTTAATTTAACACATTTACAAAAAATATATTATTATAACTATTTTTGAACATAACATAACATACTAACTACTTTTCACTTTGGCTTTAATAATAAAGTTCCTAGACACAAAACTGTATAGACTATAGACTATGCCAATGACAACGGCTAAAGCAGCCAACAAAGCAGAAAGGACAACGGCTATCAGTTCGAACTCCAGATATTCTGCCCAAGTTATATTGGCGGCGGGGGCACGGAGGTGTTTCGCTCCTCCATGACGGAGGACATGCTCTATCCACCAAATACCACGTTCCAAAGGCTTCATAGGCTGATCAGTCATTAGAGTCCTTAGTTTGTTAATGTTCTTGCGGTAGCTAGAAAGAAAATAAACGAATTATTTAAAAACTCAATATTAAAGCACTTTATTGCTTGCCGTAATCCTTCTATCCTACAATAATATAATTATAAATTTGAAAGTTTGTGAGAATGTATGCGTGTATGTTTGTTAGTCTTTATTTATTCTTTACCCGCAAAACGGCTGGGCCCATTTGGTTGAAATTTGATATGGATTAAAACATAGGCTATACATTTACTTTTTATCAACATTCTTCGCGGGAAGAAAAACTAAATTCAATAGTACCTACAATATTGTTTTATCTGTTATATAAATGATTTGTTACATAAATTGTTATGATTATTTTTATGTTATTACTTTATTATTATTTTAATTTGTATTAAATTATTACTTTAATAAAATAGTACACAAAATGCAATTTAGAATATTTTATCTGTCGATTAAGCTGAATTCTAAATTTAACTTCTTCTAAATTTGAATTTTAATAGGTAATAAATTATTCGCATGATTATCCACTACGATTAGTATGTTGAATTTCAAAAAAAAAAGAGCCAAAAAAAAAACAACAGAATGCAGTTTGGTCTTTGACTAAGGATTTACTAAGCAAGAGTGAGATCATGGTTTAAAATGTACTCTGATAAATTATAATAAAACCTACTAATATTATTATAAACGTCAACGTAATTCTTTCAAGCAAAAACGGCTAGACCGATTTGTTTGAAATATATATAAATAGGTATGTAGATAGGTGATGCCATTAATTAATACATAGGCTATGTTTTATCAACATACAACGCTGGCGAAGCCGCTGGCTGAAGCTAGTATCGCATAATTATTTTGTCTTACCTTTCATCCTCAATAACAGTGTTTACAGCAGTGGTGAACGTTTCTTCTGTAAGAGAGACCAGTTCAAGTTTCACTCCGATTCCATGATGGACATATTTTTCCACATTGTACCATTGATCGCCCAGCATAGGGACTCCAACTAGAGGAACTCCTGCAGTTATAGCCTCATCCGTTGATTGCAAACCTCCTTGTGTTACAAAGAGTTTTATTTTTGGATGTTCTGTAAGAAAAAAAAAATAATACTTTGTTAATAATTTCTTCAATGAGAAAAGAAGAGGATGCATTGTATAATGTTAAAAAGAGTATAGGTTTTATAATGTTTCTTATTATATTTTTGTTGGTTGTTGGTTAATGTGGCTACAAGTTTGATGTAGCTATTTGTACCTACATTTTTTTAAACGAATCACGACCGTCTTCGGGTTTTAATAAAAAAAACACTTTAAAATAAATTATATTAAAGATTACGCTAACATAGCATTTTATTGATAAAAAAATAGGTCATAAAACGACGATAATTGATTGAAAAAAAAAAATAAAATGTATTTATTTTATTTAGTAGTTATATATTTATTTATTTACTTATTTGTTATTTCTACCTATTTATTTAATTAAAACTCATTTTGAAAAAGGAGAAATTCCCTGAAAGGTTTTCGTGGTTCAGCGTTGTATTTTTTGCTTTATTTTTGTTATTGGTGTTGGAAAATAAATAAAAAAAACAATACCCACTTACTGACGAACTCAAAAAGTCTTAAAAACAGTTACAGTATTATCACACATATACATAATGTACATACCACTACAGTAAACTAGTGATGCTTACATTACGTAATATAAAAAAAAAACTGACTGTATCAGTATTTTTATTCTCAATGAAACATTATCACTATGGATCTGCGTGATTAGTTTAAAATGTTTCGTCGCCGTGACTTAGCAGTTGTTCTGATTACCGTCTCGACAATTATCTGTCTACATCATGAATCAGCTATATTTTGAGAACATTAATTACATTATCTTGATGTGTTTTTACATAATTATTTTACTAAGATGAACGACGTCACTTTTATTTTCAGCAAATATTTGAACTAATTTTTTTTATTATGTCTACAACTGGAATAGGTGAACTAATTACATTTTAAAACATCTTATATTTCTTAAATAAGGTTGAGGTATGGTTCTTAAAGCCATATCAAATCACCACAGAGTTTAAATAAATCTAGTTCAGGTAATCCCCAGGTACTTTACATTTCATTTTTATATATTATAACTAGCTACCTTCGCGTGGTTGCACCTACTGCTCTGCTCTTACAGATCGTAGCGTGATGTTTTATAGCCTAGATTCTTTCTCGATAAATGAAATAACAAACAAAAAAAAATGTTCAATTTGAACCAGTAGTTCTGGAGATTGGCGCGTTCAAACAAACTCTTCAGCTTTATATGATTCAGTATAGATATAATAAATAATTCATATTAAGTTAAATATTTTTTATAAATGTAATAATGTTTAATTTTATTTAACTAAAACAATTGAGTTAGCTGTATAAAGTGTGATCTATGCTTTTTAACCCACTTATTACTATAGCCCTTTTAATTTTTTTATTTATTTATTACAGATCTCACTAGGGCCGATATCCATACGGGGTTACGAGTGAACGCGTAATAATAGACCGCAGCCCTGGCCTGAAGCTGGAGAAGGAATGAGGAGGTGTTTAGCCAGTAAGAGTCTGACACTCCCGTTGGCACTGGAACTTTCAAAAGTGCCAGTTGATGGTCAGCATTGAAAAAAAATAAAAATATCCTAGTATTTTTCAATATAAAGAAAAAATGTGATTTACTTACTTAGCAAGTCAGACTGTGGTAGCCATTTGGAGATCCTGATGTTTGCTGATCTTCCTGGCAGCTCATCTTTGTCCCATTTCCAGAGAACATCGTATGGCATCTTTGAGAAGACCTTTACAAGGGTCTGAATTTTTTCGGCAGGAAGAAGACTGGGTTTCACGTTCGTACCAAAACTGATGTAGATTACACCGTGTTTCGAAGAGTCTAAATATGTTTTCAGATCCTGCAACAATACGCAAAGGAGTTTATAATTTGTAGTTATTTTATTACATGAAATCTCTAAGATTTTCTCCTGTGTCGTAAGCCGTGGTCGTGAGTGTGTTTCAAACAACGAATTTTATATCCATATACCACCCAGACCCTTTTTTTGTCAGGGGAAAATCATCCAATGACTTCTCCCGCCCAGGGTAAGGCGAGGGAGAGTGTGTCAGACTCTTACTGACTAAAAACCCCCCGTTTCTTCTCCTGCTCTGGGCCGAGGTCGCGGTGCCTCATATATCACCCAGACCCAGAACAACAACGAATGATCTACAAGTTATAAAAGAGTTGTTCCATGCGAGGATCGAACCCGCGAAACAGTGCACGGCGTTGGCTCAACTATGGCATTGATTCCAAATTTTTACAGATGAGATATGCAAAGAGTTTACGAGTTACGAGTGCATTGCCGACCTTCCGGGGATTAGGGATTGTAGAGAGATTGGGAAGGATTGGGCCTTCGGTAAACTCACGCACACGGCGAAACACAGTGCTGTGGTTGTTTCACGCCGGTTTTCTGTGTGGCCACTCCGGTCGAGCTGGCCCATACGTGCCAAAGCACGGCTCTTTCACATTTTAAATAATCATTAATATAATCTATCTATGTATTTTTTATAGACAGATTATGCGCAGAATTTTCTATTAATAAAACAACGCTACTTTTAAACATACATGTATCACGCACTCAAGATGAAATAGATATTATTATTTATCAGTTAATTGAAGACAAGTGATTTCAATGCCATAGCCGACTAGATTGTCATCATGACTCGGCACATCTCAAACGAGTTTACACTCTATTATTACTGAGATAAGATAGCTATTTGATGACTTGTATAAAACGTGTTCGTAAGATGTTCCTCTTGATTTTTTATATGTTTATGTATATATACATATAGCTACATATTATTATTGCTTATTATTTCCTCATTATACATACATATAGTTATGTTTACTTCTTGACCTGAAGAACTTAGTAATTGGTCTTAGAATCTAACGTACTGGTTTTATGTTTAAGGTAAATCTAAGAAAAAAAAATACAAAATTTTTTTCATAGTCTGGATTACGGATTTGTGATGTCATTACATTGTTATGGCATAAATTGTACTTATTTTTATACTGTAATAGAGGTCGCCCGCGCCTACGCCCGCGTGGATGTCGATTTTACACTTTTCCAAGATTTTTTGTTATTTATTTTTCTCTACGGAAACCTTCTCTGGACTTTCACAAATAATTCAAGACCAAAATTAGCCAAATCGTTAAACGGGTTGTGGAGTTACAACATTACGACGAAAAGTGGCCAGCTAGTCATAGTATATGCAATCGTTTTAACATATTATCAAAAACGATTTTGGCATGTCCATATAGATTCTGTGTGACAGACAGATAGACAGACTTGTGACGTCATCATTTTTTGCGTCAATAAGCATACGTACATATTTTTTAAAAAACAAACCTGGAAATATCGAACACTAAATAAATCGTAAAATAAATTAGGTAACAACATTTATTTACGAATATTTTTTTGTATTTTTACCGACTTCAAAAAAAAGGAGGAGGTACTATGTTCGGCTGATTGTTTTTTTTTGTGTAACTAATATGTTTTTACTAAGTAAAATGTACACTATAATCCCACATGAGTGTATGATGCGTTTACAAACATGTGATTTCATATACACATCACATTCAGACGTGGATCACTCAAAGACTTGTTCTGTTTGGGACTCGAACCCGCAACGCGTTGCACGGTGGCCAGTATCGTCTACAGTGTCTACAGTGCAGTTGAAGTCGAGATTCATACAATTATAATACAAATTTTACTTATTACATACATAATATATATATACAAATACAATTCTAATTATTAAATATTTCGAGAATATTGCTTGCAAGTTTTAGGTACTACTTTTGAAAAAAAAAAAAAAAAATCACTTATTAAAAGTTTTTTTTTTACTTTACATTACATACAATACACTATTCTGAAACTTATAATTTTCAATTTAAACAGATGCTGTAATAGTGTTAGACAAGATTTCAAAAAAAAAAAACAAAAAGCTTTTGGTTCAGTTTTGTTCGAACAGTATTTTTGTCTGTGTGTTGTCTATCAATCACTCAGTAGGTAACAGGTTTTTATGGGTTATTGGCACAGATATTTATAGTCACAATAAAAAAAAACCACAATCATAGCACGCGGTTACAGATTCAAGGTCGAACGTTATGTTTGCTTATGTTTATTGAGTACTTGTTGTTGATAGACTTATTTTGATATTTTGAATATTTAATACTCATTTTTGTTAATGCGACCTTTTTTTTGGTTTCTGGTTTTTTATGTGTCTTTTTTTGTATTTTTTTCTTGTCGACCCCAAATTGCCTATGAGTGCCTACAAACTGTACTATAATATCCTCCACATAATCAAAAGGCAAATTTTCACCCAGCTAGCTATTTAATATTCTGGTTACATTTCCTAATGATGCAACTGAGAATTCGAAAATATCGATAGTGTCCAAAATATTTGGTTGCTTGGACGTTGCAGTTACAAACAAACCTTTGAAGGTAACATAAAAATTGCAATTATTATCAAATATTTATTGTATTTTTAGACTCTTGTCGCCATTCTCGTTGCTTTAGTTTTTCTTTTTAAAATAATATCTATGTTAATAAAAATACAGAAACAAAATATTACGAGTAAGTTATATTCTCAAGCTTAAGTTTTAGCTCAAACCTTCTTCGTGTGAGAACTTTGTTTAACTTATAGGCGGATGATAGCAAGGACAAAAGTGTTGTTAAGTGCAAAATAGTTGTGATCGTCTTAATTATCATATTTTAATATTATCATAGTCTAAATTTGATGTAAAGTTCCTTCACAAGCACAAAATTCGAATAAAATATTATTTACCGACTTAAATGGTAACAATAGAAATAAATTTCAAACAATAGATAAACAAACAAAATACTAATAAAATAAAGACTTACTTGAGGCAATTCCTTATGCGGTTTCTGGGGCAAACCTCCCAAATGTACAACACTCGGTGGCACTGGCCGAATACCCTCCCAAATCGGATTAACATTTAAAAACAACATCTCAACTTTATTTTGCAATTCATATATATCAGGTAAGTCTGGTCCGAAATGTTTTTTCAGCATTTTAAGTTCTCCTACCGCCATAGTATTTAGCAGGTTATTAATCATGTAATTATTGTACAATTCATACAACTTCTCGTATATTGTCAGATTATAAATCTTCTGATTCATACTACTTGGGTACAAGAAAGGGTGTCCTGGTGCTCCAATCACTGCGTAGTTATCAAATATCGCTCCAAACGAACTTATCTGTATCAGAGGAACTTTGTATACGTGCGAAAACGCCAAAGCTGGTCGTACACAAGCTTCAACAAGCAAAAGATCAAATTCCTGCTTTCCTTTAATAATTTCTTTCATTTCTTCAGTTTGTAATTGTAGATCGACCAAATCGATCAACATTTGCGATGCGACCCTCATTTGGGTAATCAGATCCTCTTTGTTTCCTTTAGAAGATTCCATGAAGACTTGCCAAGCCTCGTAAGATAAGTCATGGACATCAATTTCTGTTAGATTCGCTGGTGCTTCACCTTTCTTGAACATTGGGTCTGGTGTCATCACTACAATTTCATGACCACGCTTGACGAGCTCCATGGTGATTGGTCGGAAGGTGATCTGGTGGCTGATGGATGGTACAGGTAATACCATCAGTATTCGCGCGGCATCCGCGAAAATCACGTGTAATGTGATACACAGGACAATTTGCCTTAACCCAACCATCGTGAGGTCGTGTTTGCAACTAATTGAGTCAGTGATTCTACGTGTGTTTTATACGGAAACCAGTCAAGATAACAGACAACTTTGTTTCGGATAATTTATGATAATAAGAACGTTTTTGTATCTCAAGTTTGTTAGATTAATAGACTGTGATTTTATGTTTTTATTTTTATTAGATGACAATGAGTTGGCATTTTTTGATGCAAAGATATATTTTTTTTAATTGCTGTTTAAAAAAATCACGAGTCATTGTGTTGTCTGAATTGATTTTGTTTTAAACTTGAATGTGATCTATTTTTAGAAGGTATATGAATGAATTTATGTCACTGTGTCCGCACGCAACACTTAATTCAAATTTTGTGGCAATATTTATAATACTAACAAGTGCTTGATGCTTTGGTGCCCATTTTATAATTGTGTACCTGGTGTCCGCAGCAAGTGGTGCATTTAACAAACTTTATTAAGTTGCACGTGAACTATTATTGCTGTCATCTTCATCATCATCATCGTCGTCATCATTTAGGGATTGAGAAGGGAAAGCTTTTCCAATCCCTAAATCTCCAAAATGCTAATTTGTAATTGCATTAATTATAACTAATCTAGTATTACGGATTTCCACGGGCAGCGCTGATTGCTTACTATCAGATAATCCGTCTGCTCTTTTGCCGGTGATCACATAAAAAATATAAAAAGAGTAAATGCATACTAATCGCTTTGTATACACCTTGAATGGTTAAACATGACACGGTACAAATTCGTTATTATTTTAACACGCCTAGTTAAGTTGAGCTGCTTTGTAAATTTTAATATTATAACAACATTAACTACATTCACTCGTAGTAGCGGAAGATATTTAGCATTTTTCTTTCATCCTTAAATTATCATATAAATTAAGTGTTTGAACACTTTTTACGGCGTCGACGAACTAAGTCGCTTTATCTTCCTTCCGGACGCCGCTGTGCTAGGAAGGAGGTTACATAACGTTGTATATTGCCTTATATTTTATAATAGTAGCAGACCTAGCCATGCGTTGCTGTGGCTAAAGTACTTGTCATATTAACTATGGACAAATAATTTGCAATACAATAATATTATGACTATAAATTGAGATGTAAGCTATCCTATCTTTCAAGTTGGCTCAAAATGCACACGGAATGCAAATCAAATAATTTAAAATCGGTTTAGTAGTTTAGGAGTCCATCCAGGACAAACATGATACGAAAATTTTATATATTAAGATAAGTATATCAAAAATTATAATATTTTGTAATATCTCCGTGTGGGAGAGCCATGCTTCGGCATGAATGGGTCGGCTCGACTGGCTGGGCAGAGTGATACCACGACCTCACAGAAACATACAAACTCACATACACAAACCATCCAGATCCGAAATAATATCTGGAACACATGAAGTGTTATTCCGTGCGGGACACCGAAACCGCAGCAAACGTGTACAGCAGCAAGTTGCCCAGCCACTATGCCGGCCGTTTTTTTTATGTAAAAAGTCGGCAAACGAGCTAACGGATTACCTGACGGTAAGCAAACAGCGCTGCCCATGTACACCCACAATGGAGTAGTTACGAGTGTGTTGCCGACCTTTTAGGAATTAGGGATTTGGAAATTTAGGCATTGGGGAAGGTTCGGGGGAGGGGAAGGATTTGGCCTCCGGTAACCTCACTCTCACGACGAAACACAACGCTATGGTTGTTTCACGCCGGTTTTTTGTGAGGCCGTGGTATCACTCCGGTCGAGCCGATCCATTCGTGTCGAAGAATGGCTCTCCCACATGTAAACCATGCAGTCAACTCGATGTAGTTTTTGATTATAACCAGAAATGTTAAATTCTTCAACGTAAAAGAAACACTTTTACTATTATTGTACCTAATCAATACGTTGAATGATGGTGCAACTAATTTGGAAAATCATTAATCGTTTTGCAAACTCACCATGTCTTCAACTAGTGAATTACTAGCATTTAAAAGATAAATCATAATCACAATTAAATATATATGTTTGATATCATTTTTAATTTCATTGATACAGTGATAGAATAGAAATGACTTAGCATTTTTTTTACATCCTTCTGATAAGTAATTAAATACTTGTATTTTTTTTATTAGGGCAATCGAATCGCCAGATTCTATAGAAAGCAATTGGCTCGACACTGATCCCTCATTTCAAGTCCTTCTCTTTTTATTGTTACTATTTTTTATTTACAAAAATAATCGAATTTTATTTATGTGCAAAGCATTTTTTTTTTTTTCGCAAGCGGACCATTTTTGGGGCCAGGGATTTGGGAATCGGGAATGGGGTGAGGTGAATGGTAAGATTTTGGTAGTCTCAATCACACAGCAAACTGCAGCACAAGCTCCTATTTTGGTAAAGCCGTAGCATCACTTCTGTTGAGCTGGCCTATTTCAGTTATTATTTAAAAAGGCATACACTCGTGGTACCAATTATTCTAAAATCGGAAAATTACTACAAGTGTCCGTTGATGAATGATCGTGTTATTAATTTGCAAGATCATGATTGCACTCATTGTTCATTCAGGTAATATACATTTTACAATCACATCAATTCACATAAATTACCAAAATACAACAGATCGTTATCATCTAACGTAGAAACATAAATACGGATGTACATCTGAATATTTATCTACTTCTTTTTTGAGGCAGTTATGTCATCACAATACTTTACCCTCCGATGACGTGATAAAGCGTTTTTTCTTTCTCACGGAAAATTCATCAAATGACTTCTCCCGGACTTGGTTAGGCGAGAGACAGTGTTAAACTCTTACTGACTAAAAACCCCTCCGTTCCTTCACCTGCTCTAGGCCAAGGCTGCGGTGCCTCATTGCGCTTGCCTCGCAATCTCGTCTGAACATCAGGACAGAGAGGAACATAGACCCTATAGGGCCCTAGACGGGGCCCTATAGGGCCCTATAGGGCCCCGTCTGTGTTGGTCTATAGATTCTATAAGGCGCATGCGGAACGCTACGCGCCATACGCCGTACGCGTGAAAAGGCGTTTAAGACTTTAGTGAACACTTCAAATCACCCCGTTTTTTCATCTGCACCGAGCAAGGCGATCATGGTGCATCTGCTACTTCGGTTGGACATCAGCCCATGTGGGCCTCATCTATGTCTGATAACTTCTGGACGCTGTCTGCAGATTCGATCTCACAGTTTTGTTATTTCAGAAGTAAAATATTTTCGACTTTTTAATGTTAATTTATTGAACAGCTGTACCTTTATCTTTTATAAATTTAAAATCGATTAATTACAATGTAGATTTGAAATATTGCATGTCATTACGATGACTTCGCGGGCTTTTAATCTTAAACCTTGAATAGTATAAGTACACGAAATTCTAATTGTTTGCCAGGTATCAAGTTAAAGAGAGCAAGCAAGCGTAACTCGCCGGTCGACCCGAACCAGACTCAAGCGTACGAATCGCAGCGTTTCACGCGCGCCTTAAAGAGGTATAACAGATCCCCCACAGGTAGGACCCAATAGAACCGATTGACAGTCGAGGTTACGGGTCGGGATGAAGAAGAAGGAACGGGGAGGTTTTTCGGCAATAACAGTCTAAAACTCGTTCTTGTTCCACCCAGGGTGAGTCATTAGATTTATATTTGTCACTTAAAAAATGTGTGCGAGATTGTTTCAGGTTTGAGTATCATGTGGAGGCATTTTTTTGTAACTGCATCTACGATACAGGAGAAAATCTTTGTGAGGGCAAAATTAAATAAGAAACGACATCTTGGTCTTGAGAGATGAGTTATAATATGGTTGCCCAAATCTATGTAATTAAAAACTTTTTATTAGGCGTCGTTGTTAAAGTCTGTCATGTCATAGAAGTATAATATTAAAGTTTTACTCAACTTAATAAATTCATTATCGAAATATCACTTAAGTACGCAGTTTTACATTTTAATTATACCTTTTACTTTTAGTATTCTAAAACACTGTTGTGAAAAGTAAATTGATTTTTAGACCTTAATACACTGCATATAAGTACTAAGTTTTATTAAAATCGATTGAATAGTTTCAAAGATATTTGACTCGAATGCTTGTTTGGAAAACCGTGCTGCCGAGGAAACGCTTTAAAAGGAACTAGGTACTATGTAAAGTTTCATAGTGCAAATCGCTGAGAAATGAAATTCCTTGTCGGAGTTCTTACTTACAAGTTTCCTGAAAAATATAACTAGGAAATATAAAATATAGTCTTAAGTGTGGGAGAGCCATACTTCGGCTCGAATGGGCTGGTTCGACGAGAGTGATGCCATGGCCTCACAGAAAACCGGCGTGAAAGAACGACAGCGTTGTGTTCCGCAGTGTAAGTGAAGTTACCGGAGGCCCAATCCACCCCCACCCCCTATCCTTCCCAGTCTCATCCCCAAAAGGAAATGCGCTCGTACCTCTTCTGTTGCGGATTGCCAGCATGTGCTCATGGCCAATTGCCATCAGATAATCCGTCTATTCGTTTACTGAACTATCGCATAAAAAAAGAACTAGGATGTTTGTAAATCTTGAGTGAATAGGATGCTGAAGAGCAGGAATGCTCCATAATTACCTTCCACCTATTAAGTACATCAGCCGGGGTTGCGGGGTAAGCGCAATGAGGCAACGCGACCTCAACCTAGAGCAGGAGAAGGAACAGGGGGGTTTTTAGTCAGTTGAGTAAGAATCTGACACTCCCTCCCGCCCGGCCCTGGGCGGGAGAAGTAATTTGATGATTTTTCCTTCACAAAAAAACCTATTTAGTACATGAGGCAGTGATCCTTCTTTTAAATACTTTTTAGACCTGTCCCCGACATGATTAAATACTGAATTTATCTAAAACAATAACATTGTTCCTCTTATTCTAGGAAGTCTAATATTTGTATTGTTAGGCCAAATAATGTTATTTAGAATTTCAATACAGAAATTCTTAGTAGTTACATGAATGTTTGGTGTATGCGTATTGTTAAACAATAGGGACATATACAGACTAATATTACTAATATTACCTAAATTTACTGACCCAGTTTTTTTCCCGCAATACACTCGTTCTCAGCAGGGGTTGCGGGGTAAGCGTAATAAGGCACCGCAGCCTCGGCCAACAGCAGGAGAAGGAACGAGGGAGTTCTCACCCTGCTTATCGGGGGAGAAGTCATTTGATGAATTTTGTAATATGAAGATCGTTAAATTCTATCAACCTTGAAGATACTGTTTACTACTATTTTTTTGAAGTGTAGAACAGTCATGCTTTGATATGAATGATTCGACAGGAGTGATGCCACTGCTACATGAAAATCAGCGTGAAACAAAAGCATTGTGTTTCGCGGTATGAGTCAGGTTACCGGCGACCCAATCTTGCTTCCCTCTTCCAATCCTTAAATCTCCGGATTCTAATCACCAAAACGTTGGCAATGCAATTGTTAGACCTCTGGGTGTCCATGGAGCGGCGCCGATTGCTTACCATCAGGTAATCGTTCATGTGATACGAGCTGTCGATGATAATTTTGATATCTGCGCTCAGTATTTGTTTTAATGGGAAAATTATAATCGAAAGTAATTTTACTAAAGTACGTCTGTGACAAGAAAAATCTAGGTCAAGAATAAATTCTAACTTAAAAATATTTCGAAAAAGTCATTCATATTCTTTGAAAGGCCACATATTGGCTTTATTGACTAAATTCAGTTTTAGTTCAGTTTACTGTCGAAAAATGTAAATTTATTACCATTTACGAAGATTTACTCGGAAGATTTGAGTCTCGATAAGATCTGAATTATTTTGGAACATTTTCTGGAAATCTTTGGGTCATAAAACGTCTTGGATTATCATGTTTTGATTATTTTTATCTATTCCACTCGTAGCTTGGACTGCAAGAGGGAAAGAGGCGGAATATTTTTTGGGTGTAAAAGGAAATATTTGTAAATACGTTTAAGAATACATATTTTGCTCACATCAGCTAGCTTTCTTCTTGCTCTTGATCTTCGCAATATTAAAATATCTGAAAATATCTCCTAAATCTTTTGAATTAGTCTTAGAGCCTATTCAAAGAAAACAAACATACAAGTCATTTTTCATCTTAAACGTGACCATTTATTTATTCCATAGATTTACTTAAAAAAAAAACAGGTGTAATCACAGTGTCGTGTTTGACAAATAAATTGAAAATTATTTCTATTTATTTATCTATTTATTATGTAAACAATAACCACAGCTGGTGCTATAGAAATCACACTAATTAATACATATTTGTTTTCTATACTTAAAAATATACTTTACAAAGGTGTTTATTAAATAATCCTTAAAATATTGTCAATTATCTTTTAACTTTCTGTACTTCATTTGCATCTTTACGAATTTCCATAAGCAGTATACGATCAATGATAATACTAGAAGGAAACATGTTACTATAGCTAGTACTATTAATACTAATTCCAGTTCGAGGTACTCTGCCCACGACATGTTGGCTGCAGGTCCTCGCAGATGTCTCGCACCACCGTGACGCAGCACGTGTTCCGTCCACCATATAGCTCGTTCCAGTGGAGGTTGAGGCTGGTCGTACATCACACTGCGTAACTTTTCTACATTGTTTCGGTAACTGAAAACAAGCAATCATTTAGTTACCACCACAGATGCGTCGCAACAGGCTGATCATTATCTAGGGTTGCGAGTCAAGAGCAATTTGACGCGCTCCCGGCTTAGAGCTCTGGAAGTTTCGGGATTGTTTTTGAGTGCGTAAGAGACTGACATTCCCTTTCACCCCACCCAGGGAAAGAGACGATGTTTCTGGCTCCAAAAACAAAACAAACGACGGTAATAAGTTTAGTAATGAAGGGACTATACGACCAAAGCTTCAAAGTTCGACTCGATAGTTTTTATAAAGTCAATTGTTTAATTTTTATGATTTTCCGATTCAGGGCTTTTGAGTAACTAAAGATATTTATGTAAATGTACATATATGACTAAATAAACGATTATTTTTTATAAGATCTAACTTACCTCTCATCATTTATAACAGTGTGAATGGCATTCTTAAATTCGTCCTCATTTGTTGAAAGCAGATCCAGTTGTAGTCCGATTCCATGATGGACATATTTTTCCACATTATACCATTGATCTCCTAACATAGGAAATCCAACAAGAGGAACTCCTGCAGTTATAGCCTCATCAGTTGATTGTAAACCTCCTTGTGTTATAAATAACTTGATTTTCGGATGCCCTAAAAAGCCAAAACTATTTGAATGAATTGTGTAAAATGTGATATAACGTTTATTTTTTAATCAATCGAGAAAGCCTCTGCTTGTGGTAGGTACTGACTAAAAAACCGAATTTAATTTATCAGTCTTTCTAAAAATATTAATACACTAATATGATCTCAGACTAACTTTGGGCTTACTGTGCGTTGTCTTTAAAGCAGTACGTTACCACTAATGGTCGTATTAATGTTAAATAATATAAATAAAACCCTTATTTAAACTAAAACTTAAAGGTAATTTGAAACATCAAAAAAGTATTCAAAGCTATGCTTGTTCCAATTGCAGATTTGAATGGAGAAAAATAAAATAAAATACGTTGTTATTCTCATTAGAAAAATAAAACTTCTGGTATTATATTTCTCTGTTCCAAATACGAATTGTTTATCGTGCTATATTGCCAAAGCTAGGTGTAGTTGGTATTTCAAAAAGAAAAAAAAACTTAAAAATATCCAGAAATTTACAAGGAGGAATGTTAAAAAGAAAAAAATTGTAAATAAAATGCTCTATAATGACGTGATGATGTTTGATAGGAAGTTAGCTATTTATTGCGGGATCCCGAGGTAATTTGAGATAAGGACAGGTAAATATACAATTGGTTTAGTGCGTGGGCGACGACGACGTGACGACAAAGAACAACGTGTCAATAATTTCTGTGTCACGTACAGTCGATGTGACACAATATATAAACATTAAACAGTTATATGTACCACTAACATATGGTGAAGGGAAATGTAGTGAGGAAACCTGGACTTATAATTTCTAATTATAAGTTTAAAATCGCCAATCCGCCTTGAGCAACCGTGGTGATTAATGCTAAAGCCTTCTCCGTGTAAGAAAAAGACTTTGCTCAGCAGTGGGCACTTAATAGGCTGATGATGTGATATGAACCATGGAACTAGGTTTATTATTAAATCTATAAATTGTAATGATGACTGTTTTACGTGAATATTATGTAGTGTGAAGAAGTATAGAAGGTTTACTAACTTAAAAGATCAGATTGTGGCAGCCATTTTGATATCTTGATGTTCTTAGAGCGTCCTGGCAGTTCTTCCTTGTCCCACTTCCACAGCACGTCGTAAGGAAGTTTAGAGAAGACTTTGGCCATCATCTGCACTCTGTCTTGTGGTAGCAGTGAAGGTTGGACGTTTGTACCGAAGCTGATGTAAATCACGCCATTCTTTGAAGAGTCTAAGTACTTTTTGAGGTCCTGAAATTATGTGGAACTTAATATTACTTGTGCTTCAGACTCCAGAATATAGCTTCTGTCTATTTTGGTGTAGCCAAAAACTGATTTTAGCACACTTTTATTTGGTCAACCTAACTAACAAAATCTAACACTACACAGAATTTTGAACTTTATATCATAATGAAATTTAGAAATTACTAGTACTTTAACTAGTGATACAACATAGGACATCACATTCACATTTTTTTTATAAGTGTTATGTCATAGGACGGCAAAATCAAGCAGCACACAGATAACCTGATGGTAAGCAATCAACGTCGCCCATTGGCGCTCGTAATATTAAAGGAGTTCATCGACCTCTTGTGGTTAATTAGGATTTGTGGTTTGAGTATGGGGGGAAGGATTGTTTCCTGTGAGGCCGTGGTTTCACTCCGGTTGAGCGTTGACCACGACATTGACCGGACCACGGTCAATGTCGTGGTGGCCCGGAGGTGAAGGAGCCCGCTTCTCATGCATGGCGGTGTTTGTTCGAGACCTGGCTAGTACCAATGTGCCTTTTTTCGAGTTGCATGTACTTTCTATGATTATTTAGACACCACTGGCATACGGCAAAGGTAAACATCGTGAGGAAACCTGGACTTATAATTTCTAATTATAAGTTTGAAATCGCCAACATACATTGAGCAAGCGTGGTGATTAATGCTCTAACCCCCTCCGTATGAAAAGGGGCCTTTGCTCGGCAGTGGGCACTTATAGGCTGATGATGATGATGATGATGATGAGCTGGCCCACTCGTGCCGAAGCATGGCTCTCCTACAATTAATCATGACATATGACACCCAGACCAGGAACATCACAAAGAATTTTTCCGATCGGGAATTGAACTTGTGACGCGTTAATTATGCAGTCAAATAAAATAACTAGATATCTGACTTTTAATCGATCTCACAGTCATATTAACAAGGTTTTATTGATTCAAACAAGTAACCTACATGACCTTTCTATTAACGAAGATACTTATGTTTATTGATATAAGAAACAATAATTATAGATTGTTGCCTAGCACCTGAACAAATATAAACATTTTTAATACATACCTATGCATTTATTTTTTTATTATTTAAAATACGCAATGCGTATAAAAAGCTGTAATTAAGGTTTTTTTTATATTTAATCTATTAAACTAAGATTTTTTTCTGAATTGTAAATGAAAATTTACAAAAACGCCACATCTCGTCTAGTCTCTGAATTAATATACGTTTTCTGTTTCAATTATTATGATAGCGATTTTTTTTTCTTTTTAAAACGTTGCTCCCCGCTATGATTTTCTTCTGAGTCGTATGTACGTTTACAGACTCAGACTTTGTTGTTGCGAGACTTTGAGATTTGTGGATCACATAAAGAGTTGTTCCGTGCGGGAATCGAACCCGCGAGACTTTGCGCGGCAGCTAGTTGCCCAGCCACCGCGCCAGCGGTGCAGTCAAAAAATTAGAAAATAATCAGGTATGCAGTGTTATTGTTATTGTCACAAACTTACCGCTGGTAATTCTTTTTGAGGTTTTTGATGTAACCCTCCCATATAAATAACACTAGGTGGCACTGGACGATTCCCTTCCCAAATCGGATGGGCATTCAAAAACAGCATATCAACATTATTCTTCAATTCACTCATAGTTGGCACATCTGGTCCAAACAGTCGTTTACCCATTTCGTTCTCCGAATTTTCAACACCCTTCAGAATATTTTCGATTCTATAAAAGTTCCACAATTCCACAAGTTTCTCCCATTTAGACAAATTGAGCGAACGTTTCGTTAAAATCCCTGGATAGAGCAACGGATGCCAGGCTGACCCAATTGTTTCGACGTTGAAATTCATTGGACCGAAGGACGACACTTGAATCACTGGTACCTTATACACATGTGATAACACCAACGATGGTTTGGCACAAGCTTCTAACAGCAGCAAGTCAAACTTCTCCTCCTTTAAAAGCTTCTGCACGGCATCCAACTTCAACTGCATCTCAACAATATCCACTATTATAGAAAATGCTACTGTCATCTGCAGGATCAAATCAGTATCACCAGTCGACGTTACTTCGTAAAGAGACTTCCAGGTTTCATAAGAAAAATCATGAACATCGATTTCTGTTAGGTTAGCTGGTGCTCCTCCTTTTGGGAACGCAGGATCTGGTGTGATGACTGTCACTTGGTGTCCTCTACTGACTAATTCTTGAGTAAAAGGTCTGAACACTACTTGATGGCTGATTGAAGGTACTGGAAACATAGCCAGTATTCGAGCTGCATCATTACACGTAATTGACAATGATAGCAAGAACAAAGCGACTGCGGCAGACATGATTGCACGCAAACGTTTCCAATTGCTATGAGATATTAATGAGTCTGTTTCCTTATATATTATGTTGTTAAAGTATATGTACCTATACCTAAAGTGTGTGTACCTTTGACCTTGCGTGTGTTAAGAGTTGTTCACATAAAACGTGTTTCTAAGCGAAATTAACCAGAATCGTAAGACTTAATTTAGTAAAAGAGGTCATCTGAAGATATATATAAGAATAAAACGTAAAATAAAACGTCATGCCTGTTTGTCCGACAAGTTTCGCAGAGGTCATTTATGCTCAAAGTTTGACCCATTTTGCTCCAAATAATTTTTCTATCGTTGAGGGGTTCTGAGAAAATTACAAAAACTTAGCTTTTTGGGGAAATCCAACAACTCCAACACCCATTGCCCAACAGTTCTTATTACGACCACCAATGAAGCAAGCGCTCAAAACGAAACTAGCCAAAATTGTAACAAAAAATCACTTCTGCCTAATTTTTTGTAGAAATTACACGTTTTTAAGTTATGGATGTTCCTTTGATTAGTGGCACCGATAAAGTCAGTGTTGTAATTGATGACCTGAGAGATTATAAACATGTGTGCTATAATTTCGAGATAATATTTTATCTTTTGCACTGAACCGACCATTATACTAATTTATTATTTATATATTTTTTGTTCTTCTGTGGCAGTTACTGCACCCGTTTCATCCATCATTCATGAGGATGTGGGTTTGAACATGGCAAGTATCGATGTGACTTTTCCGAGTTATATTTACTGTAAATTTAAGTGATAACATTGTAGGAAACCTGAACTTGATAATTTTCAGACGTAAGTTTCAAATTGCTGCCCTTGCCTTTGTTCAGTAGTAAGCATTTATAGACTTATTCAAAAAAAATATTTTGTTCTTCAATTCTATATCTACATTCTAAGCTAAGTTTCTGCCTACTCTGTTTGGTAAAGTTTGCCTACGTTTAATTATTATAATAAAAAAACAAAACCATCCTAATCTAACCGTTAATTTGGAAGTCTTTCTAATTGGAACTATTTTTATCACCAATTTTTTGTTTTATATAGAATTGTATTATGTATAAACCTAGATTCTTATTGCTTAATTGTATTTATAGATTTCTAAAATGCCAAATATTGCTTGAGTTAACTTATTAGCTGCCTTTGACAATTGACAAACGAATTAACTTAAAATACTTTAACAGAAAACTAGAAGGGCAAGTATTAACAAGTATTATTGGAATTATGGAATCCAAAAATTTTAATTAATGATATGAAATTGTGTGTATTGTGAACGCACCCCATGAAATATGTTCCCCGCCTACAATTTTATGTATGCAACTGGCAAACCCTGATTTTCGGTCAAACTCGTTTTGTCTACACTTCCGTCTATAATAAGCTTAGTTACTAAGACGTGCTCTAATTGTAGTTGTCTCTACTTGTCTTAGTTACCGCAAAAAGTCGGAGGCATTATACCAACCAGATGCCGCCCCAGCAACAGCCAGTGGGTAGTAGAGCGGGGAACTGCTACCTGCATTGCACGAGCTGCTGCTGAGATGGATCGCCAATAAATGGAGGCGACCAGCCACTGCCGAGAGGTCACGAAAATCGTTTTTGGTCCTGTAGCTTCTCCCAAATGGCAGAAGACAGCATGAAAGCTGAGTTAGTTAAGTGCAAGACCCACCAAAAACCTCACCGTCTCCCCCTCCCCCCCCGGCGGTGTGTGTATGCGTAGGGCATTTGTTCTGTTCAGCTGGAAAAAAAGTGACCGCTAAAAAAAGATAGTGATGCGGGGCAAGCGCAATAAGTTAGCAGACTCGGCCATCGACCTAGTTTTTAGTCAGTAAGAATCTGACACTTGCTCTTATTTAACCTTGGGCTCAAAAAACAAAGTAATGGATAAGATAATTCGTCATATTTATCAGAAGGACAACGTCCACAGCTGAACAACGGTCTTCCACTTAGAACTCCACATAAAACGACAGCACACCACTCTTGGATACATGATCATGACAATATTTAAAGTTTGGAAAATTGTGTATTATTTCAAACTTACCAAACAAAAATTCGGAATAACTTTCATTATCTGTAAAATGTGTTAAAATTTGAAACTGCAGCCCTAACCAAGTTGACCCGGTTGGGCCCGATCCGTGGATGTTCTAATTGTTTGAGGCGCGCTTGGCTCGCTACGAGTCGTATGCTTGAGGTTGGTTCTGGTCTGTCGCTGCTCGCTAAACAATGCGAAAGGTATCTCATGCAGTCACTAAATATCTAACTTATAGGTAGACACAGTTTTCTATGCTTTATTATAAGTTGAGTAACGAAAGTGTCATTATGTATAAGGTAATCTTGCGAGTATGTAATCACCAAAATCGATTAAAATAATTAATATCGGCTTACTTTTCATATTTTGCACTGTGAGATTTGTTAACCGACTATTCCAAATACAATTTTTTATTTACTTGAAACAAAACACTCTTGTTCGTACTTGCCATTAAAAAACCTTAAGCAGTATAATTTTAAAAACTATGATAACTAATTTTAGAATTATACAACAGTGCCATCTATTGTGAGGTTATAAATTCAGGGTTTAACCTATCTACCAAATATCAACCAAATTAGTCCAGCTCTTGTATAATAACAAACATACATCCATACATTCTCACAAACTTTTACATTGATAATATTAGTGGGATTTCTTATTGTCTGTTAAGTGAAATGTTTAAGAAAGCCTTCCATTAAATATATATACATTAATTTTTTTTAAAAAAAAAAACGTCAAATTTAATAAATAATACAGTTTGAAGATAAAGATGGTGAAAGATAAACTCACTCTGACATATATAAATTTTAATAAAGTGTCAATTTAAAGTTCAAATACAATTGGACGGTCTCATCATGATTCAGCGAAGAGCGCTGACCCTTACCTTCACATTGAACTCACTCATAAACGAGTAAAATGATAAGACCCTTTGCGTCACATACTCAACACTCGCATCTGTAGTGATTATCGTGACACTGACATTATTCGTCATGCGTCAAAGTCACGTGTAAATGTCAATGTCAGTGAAAAAGTGACACATGTCATTTTAATATAATTAGATTTTTTTTAATTTGGTACATCGTTATCCGTTTTTTGGAATATTAAAAGTTATTTTTTATCAGTTATCTAGATGTCATTATTTAAAATTGTGTATTTTTTTTTTGTATCTGTAAGATACTTTTGACGACTAACTGTTACTTAATATAGATTTTTAAGCATTTTCATAAAATATTCTAAATACAAATTCAATTTTGCCGTTTAATGAATGCATGGTTAGCATGTTACAAAAAAAGTCATGAGTATAAATAAGGATGGATGGAGAGGGAGAGGGAGACCAAAGAAAATATGGATGGATTGTGTGAGAAGTGATATTATGGAAGACAGAGGAGTTAGCGATAGCGTGACGAGTGACAGGACAGAATGGAAGAAAAAAACATATTGCACCGACCCCAAATAAAACGGGACAAGGGCAGGAAGATGATGAATGAATGCATGGTTAGCTTGGAATTAATATTTACAACATCATTTCTTTTGTCTTTGTGTTTTATTTATATTTAGGTATATTATGAATATTATAAATCTTTCTTAAATCTGATAATAGCAGTCAATTGGTTTAAACTAAAAAATAGTTAATTGTTCTTAACTTTCTGTTGCCTCGCAGTTGGCATTAAACACCTCCATAACTTAAGCAGAAGGAATGTTAATACTACAAGAATGCTTAAAATTATTCCTAATACAGTAAATACTAATTCTAGTTCGAGGTACTCTGCCCACGACATGTTGGCTGCAGGTCCTCGCAGATGTCTCGCGCCGCCGTGACGCAGCACGTGTTCCGTCCACCAAACAGCGCGCTCTAGAGGAGTTTGAGGCTGGTCATACATGACCATGTGCAGCCTCTCTATATTTTGACGAAAACTGGAACCACACAAAAGGTATCTATAATTCACTGCTTTGATAGTTATGATTTTTTTCTTAAGTATTAACAAAAACATTGTACTTTGTCAGCAATATTTCATTTTTCTCATGTGAACTTTTTTAGTTTTATTTATCAGACATTCGATTTTTGAATTCAGAATAAGATCTCTAAAAGACATAAATATTTTGAAAAAAATTGTTAATTTAAATAAATGTGAAATTTAAGCCAGCTTACGAAGATTACGACGATGGTGCTATGTGGTATATACGCGAATCCATTAATATCAACTGTGTTACATTATTATTAACTATGATATACAAGATTATAGCTTTGATTCCACGGTGTCTCAAAACAGGCGTTATACAAAACTTGCGATACTTGCTGCCGTATGTATGAGAATACTGGAAGTTCAATATTCTTCTCCAAATTTGTAAATTGTACAGCCCTCAAATCCCTGACCCGAAATGGACAGCAACTCACTTGTACTCACTTGTTCAAGCATTCACGGTTCACAGCTACGATTGCCAGCCATCATGTAATCTGTCAGACCGATTGACGGCTTATCCCTTCAAAAAGTATATAATATTTCCATACCTTTTATCACTAAGAACAGTATTGATGGCCTTTTCGAAGATTTCTTCAGTCAAAGTAGGAAAATCAATCTTAACACCAATTCCATAATGTACATATTTCTCTGTGTTGTACCATTGATCGCCTATAAGTGGAATTCCTACTAGAGGTACTCCTGCAGTTATAGCCTCATCAGTAGATTGTAGACCTCCTTGTGTTATGAATAACTTGACTTTTGGATGCCCTGAAAATGAGTTCAATAAAATTAAATGCTTAATTAAAATAAAAGTCTAAGCGTTTCATTACAATTAATTCTAAGAGACACTTCAAAATGTCTTGAGAATATTTTCTGTAATTCACTTCATTAGTGAGTTAGGTGATCGTTTTAAATTGATACTCAATACTGTTATCATAAATCTCATTATCGTTTATTTATTTATTATCCATGTTAATATTCTGCTATCAACAAAGACAGTCACAATGCGAAATATAATAAAATCGTTGTTTTGTGTCAATGGAATCCTTTGTGTTATTGCGAAAATAAAATAAATCCAAAAAATAACTTTATATTTGAAGCCTCAAGCATTATTGTAACATAAAGGTAAACAAAAGTCATTGAAAATAGCAAAAAAGTCAACATAAAACCACTAAAGATTAGGTCCACTCAGAAATTATTCCACTTAACATTCGATGTAAAAGAAACAATTTATTTTATTTAGCATTTAAAATATTTCAGACGTAATATTGTTCTTAGAATTAATAAACAGAATACATTTAATTTTAAAACCTTGGGTGAACTTGTTATATCAAAATAATCCCTAAGTTCCAATAGTATGTATGGATTAAGGGTCTATTATTCTTTGAGCTACAATCACTTACTGAGCATATCAGACTGTGGCAGCCATTTTGATATTCTGATGTTCTTAGAACGTCCTGGCAGTTCGTCCTTGTCCCACTTCCATAAAACGTCGTAAGGTAGTTGAGAGAACACTTTGGCTATAATTTGTATCTTGTCCTGGGGTAGCAACGATGGCAACACATTTGTTCCAAAGCTGATGTATATCACGCCATTTTTTGACGAGTCCAAATACGTTTTAAGGTCCTACAAAATAAGTCGAGCCAAATTAAATAAAATTAAAGACTTGATATATGTAACTTAAGTTAGGCTTACCTTAGGCAGTTCTTTCACAGGCTTTTGGTGCAGTCCTCCCATATAAATAACACTAGGAGGCACTGGACGATTTCCTTCCCAGAGCCGATGAATATTCAAGAATAACATATGAACATTATCCTTCAATTCACTAATAGTCTTCGTATCAGGACCAAATAATCTTTTACCCATCACATTATCTGCTTCTTCTATTTCTCCAATTGCTTTTTCTATTCTATAAATATTATACAGTTCCACCAATTTCTCCCATGTTGTCATGTTGTACAGACGCTGACGCATATGATTTGGATATAAGAATAAGTGCATTGCAGATCCCATCGTTTCCACGTTGAAGGTCATAGGTCCAAAAGAGGATACTTGAATCACTGGAGCATTCACAACTTGTGACAAAACTAACGCCGGTCTTACACAAGCTTCTATCATCAGCAAATCAAACTTTTTATTTTCTTTCAACATTTTCTGCACTTCATCCACTGATAATTGTCTTTCCACCATGTCTACCATGACGTTGTAAACAAGACCCATTTGGAAAGCCAAATCAGGATCTCCGGTTGAAGTCTTTTCAAATAACGTATTCCATATGTTATAAGATAAATCGTGGACGTCGATTTCTTTCAAGTTTTTTGGTGTTTTACCCTTTGGGAACGCAGGGTCTGGAGTGATGACAATTACTTCATGGCCTCGTTTTGCAAGTTCTTGTGTTAAAGGTCGGAAAACTACTTGATGACTGATGGACGGTGCGGGAAAATAAGCCAGTATTCTTGCAGCATCATTAATTCCGATATATATTACTAGTAAACTTAGCACTGAACGCGAGAACATTATTGAATGGATGCCGGTAGTGAAATGTTCTAGTATCGCTATTATCAGTTTATTTTTAAGACTAGTTTCGATAGCGCGATTGTTTGTGTTTTGAATATAGTTTTCAACCGCGAATTACGTGTTCGTTGTTATTTTTGGCGTGCTCGTGTTAAACACTAGACTAGCCTTAATTATGTTAGACCGCTGTTAAGTCTTGAAGCGATAACATTTGTCTAATCGAAATATGTTCAATTCATCATATGTACTGGTGTATTCCTTGTATTATGTATTACAAATTCTAACGAACTAATGAAAAAACGAATTAATTCAATATAAGCCAGAAACTAATACTTTTTTTGTATGTGTGTGTTGCATTGCAACACGTATTACAATTTCCAATTAATATAAAAGAAAATGTTTTGTTCGGTATAAATAATCTTTATACATTAGCAAATTACTCTCTTCCCTGACATAATAATTTGTTTCTTATTATACCGTAGTTATCAATACATATGTAAAGACAAACAAAGGTCACAAGTATCAGATTATTAATGAATGACGTGAATCTACCGTACGAAAGTGACCTGATAGAAATCAGTGCAATAAAGTGATAAAGATATACTGAGTAACAACAAAATAATAATATGTATAAGTATTAATTTCATCCTTACTCTAAATGAATGTCAGCTGAAAATGGAAATGGAAATTTTGATTTTTCTCCATTTTTATGGAACAAAGCGACACCTGTTACTAATGGACTATCAACATACTAAAATTATCTGAACAAATGCTTTACTGTTTTCAATTACAATCGAGTTAAAAAGTTTCTTGGTGACCACTGAGTATTTCTATTTCGTTATATGTAGATCGGCAAACGAGCCAACTGATTACCTGATGGACACCCGCAACGAGTGTGTTACCGAACTTTTGGGGATTAGGGATTTGGAGATTTTGGCAATTAGGAGGGATTGGGGGAGTGGAAGGATTGGGCCTCCGGTAACCTCACTCAAACCGCGAAATACAACGAAATTTTTATTTCACGCCGGTGTTCTGTGAGGCCGTGGTATCACTCCGATCGTGCCGAAGCATAGCTCTCCCGCACTTAAAATCCCTAATGTATGATAATCTATTTTTGTTTTGAAGTTACAAAGAAAGCTTGATACATAACCAGCCTATAAATACCGACTGCACAAAGGCCCTCTTTTGATACGAAGAAGGTTTGTGTTGGTCGAGACGAATTGTTGATTTTAACCTTAAAATCAGAAATTTGAAATCCATATTTCTTCACGAACATCATCGTAGTGCAGCGGTGTTTACATAAAATTAAAAAGTACATATTATGAGAACTCTAAAACAGTAATATTGTAACCCATGTATGTATTATGTAATTCTGTTGGTATTTATTTAAAAGTAAGTTCTTTATTTTATCAACGAGGAAGAGACTACATTGATAAGGATATTATTGTTTATTGTATCAAAATACATTAATAAAATACCTACATTGTTTGAATGATATGATAAAAACATATTTAATTCAACAAAAAAAAAAAAAACACACGAATTCTTTAATACTCATCTTACAGAGTATTTTGTTCCCAAGTCTAAAGCAAACACAATATTAAATACCTTATTTAATTTTTAGCCAAATAAAACACGATCAAAGTGCTGTAGCCATAGGATCGATATTCAGCCAGCGTTGCGGAGGAAAGTACAATAAGGTACCACGGTCTCAGCCTAAAGCAGGAAAAGTAACAAGAGGAAGAAGTGAGGGAGAAATGGGTCGGCTCGACTCGACCGGCCACAGCCTCACAGAAAACCTGCGTGAAAAACCACAGCGTTGTGTTTCGCCGTGTAAGTGAGGTTACCGGAGGCCTTCTTCCTCTCCCCCAATCCCTCCTCAATCCCTAAATCTCCAAATCTATAATCCCGAAAAGGTCGGCAACGCACTCGTAACTCCTCGGTTGCGGGTGTCCATGGGCGGCGCTGATTGCTTACCATCGCGTAATCCGTCAGCTCGTTTGCCGACCTTTTTTCACTTAAAGAATTTTAACCAGTAGGTGTGTGAAATTTCCTCTAGCCTTACCCTGGGCGGGAGAAGTCATTTTATGAATTTATACTGACTCCAAAAAAAAAAACTTAATAAAACATAAGGTTGTAACATTCACTGTTGTTTTATTTATCACAGCTCATTTTTATTAATATTATTGTTAATTGTATCACTTGGTTTTACATAAAATAATTTAATTTAAATAGTAACAACGACAAGACATTCAAATTCCTAATTCTTCTTTAACTTTTTGCTTGGATTTATGATATTAGTTAAATACTTCCATATACTGTACATTAGGTAGAATAATACTAAAGTAATGGCTAGAACTACAGCTAAAACGGTGAATACTAATTGTAGTTCGAGGTACTCTGTCCACGACATGTTGGCTGCAGGTCCTCGCAGATGTCTCGCGCCGCCGTGACGCAGCACGTGTTCCGTCCACCATATTGCACGCTCTAGTGGAGGTTGAGGCTGGTCGTAAATCACACTGCGTAGCTTTTCCATATTCCGACGGAAACTGTAATGAATAAGAAACAGAATGAATGAATTGAATTGCTCGCTTTAGTCCGTTGAAGATTATATTGCTTGTCATTTATACCAAACATTGTACCATACGATAGGAAAACAGAATAATAGATCTTAATGCAAATACGATAGGAAAACGGAATAGATCTTAACGTTAAGTACTTTAGGGCGATTGTGCAATACAATGAATTTTACTAATTTTTACCAATTCGTTTCCTTTTGTATCGATCAACTATTGTTTTAACTTCATTCGAATCATGATATTTAATAAAAGCCTAACAACTTGATACCTTAGTAAGATGTATAATAATAAATATAAATTAAATAAACAGAATTAAAATAAAAAAGGTGCAAATTTTAGGCTTCCCAATACTGTGTCCAAATGGATTGTTTCTAATAAGGAAACAGTGACCCCATTATGAGACATCTGACCCATATCAAGGGTTCAGGTTAATAAAATTTAATTAAAAACGTGATACTCAGACCAAACGATTGCAAAACAAGTTACAGCAGTTCCTACTTCGCCAATAGATAGACTTTAGAGATGGGTTCCAACAGGGCTGACATTCAGCAGGGATTGTGGGGCAAGCTCAATCACCACGGCCTTGGCTTAGAGCGAGAGAAGGAATGTGGTGGCTTTAAGTGAGTAATGGTCTGAAACTCAACCTCACTCCACCACAAGCAACATTTTCTTCTCACAAAAAAAATCTACTTAACACGTTGAACGCCGTGAGGGACACCGTGTGGGCCACGCTAGGGGAGGATTTGCCTTTAACAGTTTTCTGTCGGCAGTTCGTCGTAAGACCATAAAATTTTTTGCTATGTATATGAAGTCAAAATGAATTTTTATACACTCACCTATCATTATTCAGGATTGTCAAAATAGCATTCTTAAAATCGTCTTCAGTCATTGTGAGTAGATCAAGTTGTAGACCAATCCCATGATGGACATATTTTTCCACATTGTACCATTGATCACCAAGCATGGGAACACCAATCAGAGGCACTCCTGCAGTAATAGCTTCATCAGCTGATTGTAGACCTCCTTGTGTTATGAACACTTTGATCTTGGGATGCCCTGAAAGAAGTAACATTATATTATTAGTTTATTACAAGTTAGGCTCTAATGGGATAGTGAAGGAATTTGGAATTATTCGTAACTAACGACCTGCCACAACTTCGCACCACTATTTAATGGATGTTTTTATAAATATTAACCTTCTTCTTCTTCTTCTTCTTCATCTGTCTATTAAAAAAAACGCTACAAAACCCGTTGCATAGTTTTAAGGTCTAAGCATTCATAGGTATGTAGGGACAGAGAAAGCGACTTTGTTTTTTATTATGTATTGATGTGTAAGGCTCTTTCAGTCTAATTAGCAAAGCTGTTACAAGATCACTGAACAATAACTAAAAACTAAATAAGTTGTAGAAACTTAGACAAACACTAGCAACTCCAACGACAATAATTTACATTAAAAAAACAACAATGGTTACTTTGTAATGTTATTTTCTGTGTTATATTTAGGTTCAATTACATTAGCCTTTAGCTTAGTACTAGATTCATGCAGTAGATGACATGAACTAGCTCAGGTCAAGCCATGGAAAGAAATATTATGATAAAATATTTTTGTAGCAATTTGAAAATTACAAATGCATTGGTGGGTACTAATAAATCTTTAGTCTATTATTTTCTATTTTGTTATAATACCTGCATATAATAAATTTAATAAGGTATGTATGTACATAAGGTATAGTGAAGCTTCATAACATCAAAGTATTTTTCAAATGGTTCAATTAGTTTCGGAGCCAATTCAAACTAAAAAAAAATCTAATATAATAATATTACTCACGGAGCAAATCAGATTGTGGCAGCCATTTTGATATCCTGATGTTCTTAGAGCGTCCTGGCAGTTCGTCCTTGTCCCACTTCCATAGCACGTCGTAAGGAAGTTCAGAGAAAACTTTAGCCATAAGTTGCACTCTGTCTAGTGGTAACAGTGAAGGCTGAACGTTTGTACCAAAACTGATGTACACTACACCGTTCTTCGAGGAGTCTAGATATTCCTTCAGATCCTGTAGCATTAGAGGAAAAATGTAAGTATTTGTTTTTTAAGATTTGTTTTTTATTAAGTCAATTGTCTTTTATCTCTGTTAAAAATTGGAATTTTATATTTCATTTTAACAATTTTGCTAATAAATCATGCACGAAAATCAAGATAGAAAAAAAATATTTAGTTATTTAATTCTATAGTATAAAAAAATATTAATGTTACCTTTGGCAGTTCCTTCTGTGGATTTTTATGCAGACCACCCATATACACGACACTAGGAGGCACTGGGCGATTGTTGTCCCAAAGAGGGTAAGTATTCAACAACATTAAATCAACATTATTTTTCAATTCATTTATACTTGGAACATTAGGACCGAACATTCTTTTAGCCATAACGTTTTCTGCATCTTCTACTTCCTTCATAACTCTATTTAACTTGTAATAAGTGTAAAACTCACGAATCTTCTCCCATTTAGTCAAGTTATATGAACGCTGGCTCAAAGTATCTGGGTATAGGAAGGGGTGCCAGGCTGATCCAATAGTGCCCACATTAAAATCTATAGTTCCCAAAGACGACACTTGAATTACAGGCGCTTTCACTACATGCGACAGAAGTAATGCTGGTCTTACACATGCCTCTAACAAGAGCAAATCAAACTTTTCTTCTTTTAACATTTTCTGTACTGGTTCCACTTTCAACTGCATCTCCACTATGTTTACCAGCGTGTGGTAGGCTCCTCGTATCTGTCCAATCAAATCTCTTTCCCCGGTTGAAGTTAATTTGTACAATATCCTCCATTGTTCATATGAAAAGTCGTGGACGTCAATTTCTGTTAAATTAGCTGGTCCATCACCATTAGGGTAGGCAGGATCTGTGGTGATGACTGTGACTTCATGTCCTCGTCTCGCTAGTTCTTCTGTTAAATGCCTGAAGATTACTTGATGGCTGATGGATGGAAGTGGAAAAAATCCGAGTATTTTTGCCGCATCGTTATAAGTCAGTGACAATGTTAATGTCAACAAGAACAGTTTTATCGTTGATGTCATTATCACGCCGGTGTTTCAAACTGTTATGATAATTCATTGAACGCGCTTCCTTATATATCGTATCGTTTTTTGTAAAACCAGTTTTAGCCGCACTTTGTTCATATCTCTATTGGTATTTGCGATAAGCGTAAATGCATACCAATACAATTTTGCCATGTTATAATTGAATTGATTGTATCTAATTAAATTTAAAAATTCTATGTAACAGTTGCATATTGTTTTCTTTTGTATTTTCTAAGATTTTAGGAAAAACAAATTAAAGCGGACTACGTACTAAGTAAATTTTTATTTTTTAAGACTTTAATTTTAAAAGGTGACATTAATGAAAACATTCATAGAGATAAAAAAACATAAAATGAAACATTTATTCAATGGTTTTTTTTTCTACTAACAGACAGAAAATTAATATTTACTTCATGATGACTTGCACCTTGAAGTTTGTTCCTATCTATCTCATCTTATCTCTAAGATAAAAAAAATATTGCTTAAATTCAGCCAGTTATCTACTGTTCGAATTGAGTTTTTAATTATTATTTTTTTTTTTTGTCTAATAAGTATATTAAGACTCTTTACAAGATTTTTCCTGCTATTCCCAGTATACAATAAAATGCTACTGATGCTAGTAAACCATTTTTACAGGGAAAACTGTCATTAAATTACTTTAAAAAAAAAACTCAACGAAATATAATTTACAATAAATAATAACATTGTATAATAAGAGGAATGTTATTGAAACCGAAATTTCTTTCACGATCCGTACACGGCACCATGCATCCATAGCCTTATAATGATATGCGATGCTGTTTGCATTAGGAATTGTTTAGTAGCAAAGCATAAATTTTTTTGGAGGGGACAAAATATCATCAAATGACTTCTCCCACCCAGTGTGAGGCAAGAGAGAGTGTCAGACTCTTACTGACTAAAAACGGCCCCATACTACTTTTATTGTTCCAGACCGACACTGCGGTACCTTATTGCGCTTGAATCACAACATAACAATTAGGCTGCTAACCTTTAACAATATAGCAATAATTAAAAAAAATAGAACATTCGTTCATGAGTGTATCCCGCTCTTGTGTTGTCTAAAGGGCGCCATCTTGGTCAGTGTGTAGCCTTAGGGGCGGATTTAGTCCTAACAAACTTCTTTCTAGCTACCATCACATTGAAACAAACTCTTCATTTAGTATTACTTCGCCATTTTTAGAGTGAAAAAAATCTGTGAATTTCGAAGAAAAATGGACCTTATTCGTAGGTACATTTTTTCATTACACAATATTGGTAAATAAGTAGTAATCGTGTTAATAGCTGTCAGATAAAACTGCTAGTTCTGATAAGATAAAGAAATGGACGTAATCATGACTCCGCGTTATTTTTGAATATAAATACTATGCCTTAACTTAAATTGTCTTTACTCAATGGATTTTAAATTCTACTACAAGAGTAGTCGAGCTAAAATCCTAGCACGAGTGAATAATTATCTCTTTTAAGTAATAGGAAACTGGTCTAATTTTTATTAATTGTTTCATACCTTAACCTTCTTGATAAACATTTTTTTATTATTAATAAAGCTTTATTCAATATCATACTTAAAATAAATAAATTTTGTAAATAATAATAGAATTGAATTAAAACTAAATTAAATATTTTTTTTTTAATAAAATTCATTTTTAATAATTTGTTGAATATATTATCGAAGTATGTCGTGGCTTATGTGGACCTCCTTTTGGTAAAGGACTGTTCCAAGAAGTTCCGTCAATCTTTGTCTCTCCAACCAATTTTGGAAATTGGATTTTTAGTACAATATATCATAAATATTTTACTTTCAGTAGCAAAAAGTTTACTTTGTAAGTCAGCCACTTTGTGTCTACAACAGTTTTACTAAGTAGTAAGGAAATTGATGCAAATTTAATTAAGGCAACTAACTTGACCGACCTACAGAGAGCATACATTAACAAGTTGTGGGTACAGTCCGTAGTTGCATACTAACCTACCCTAGACGATATCTTCAAGAGGTTTTCTACTTTATCACCAAAACTATAAGGGCGAAAATGTGACGACGCAGAAACTGTTGAATACTAGACTTCTTTGGTTCTTTTTAGTTACATCACGATCCTTGTTTTCAGAAAGGGGTACAAATATAACACCGGGAATGATAAAAAGTATCGATGGAAATTATTGCTCATTCTTCTCCATTTTAATCTAAACTTTGGAAAGAGCACTGAAGTTCTCTGTTTACTATCAGGTGATTGCTTTGTTCGTTTCCCGTCTCGTCTCATAAACCTGGCTACATGTAATAAGCTACAAAAAATATTAATTCGGCAATCTAGCAGATGAATTACTTGATGGTAAGCAATCAGCACCGCCCATGGACATCTGCAACATGTGATGTGACTTCTTTTTGTCAGGGGAAAATTATCATATGACTTCTCCCGCCCAGGGTTAGACGAGAGAATCAGACTCTTACTGACTCAAAACCCCCCGTTCCTTCTCCTGCTCTGGGCCGCGCCACGGTGACACATTTTGTTTAACCCGCAACCCCGGCAACACTAAAGGACTTACGAGTGTGTTGCCGGCCTTTTGGGGAATTGGGGGAAAGGGAGTATAAGGCCCCGGTAACCTCACTCACACGACGTAACGCAACGCTTTTTCGTTGTGTCAAGTTTTCTGCGAGGCCGTGGTATCTCCGGTCAAGCCTGTCCATTCGTGATGAGACATGGCTCTCCCACACTCACTGATACTGAGATAACAGAGGTTACGATAATGACATAATGTTATGTAACATTATTTGAGATAAAACTTGCCAAACATCCGCAAAAAATGATCATCGTTTATACTCGTATAGCTAGAGATGTGTTACAAAATATTGTGCAATATTTGAGTATAATGTTCTGGTTATAAGTATCTATAGATACTACTCTCATTATGTGTCATAACAAATTTTATTTTATTTTATTTATTTTATTAAAACTTCACGCACAATGGGTACATAGGCGGACTTAATGCCTTAGGCATTTTCTACCAGTCGAGCCTTGGGTGATGCAGAGATGAGCCAATGGTCGGTGCAAGAAGCAAGCAAACAGACTTAAATTTAAATGAGTGAAGACGAGATAGATACATATATGTGCAAATATTTACATACAAGTTACAATACAATATATATATAAACTAAGTACTCAAATTACATAATATATTTATAAATAACATATACATATATAATATATACTTATACTTATTATAATATACTATATACTTAGTCGGGTCATAAGTTCTGTCACAAACTTTTGATGTAATAACTTATACGCCTTTTGACAATTATTTAAAAATTATATATGAAATGAAAGGTCATTAAATGTACAATATAATTTTATTTACATTATTCGAAATGCCCTCCCCCATTTTGAACACATGCCCTTAATCTACGCGGCCAGTCATCGATCGCTGCACGCACCACATTCATATCTATGTCTGCCGCTGCTTTAACCAGAGATGCTCGGAGAGACTCCAAATTCGGGTGAGGTTTAGCACAGACTTTTTCCTCCAAATATTGCCATATCTTGTAGTCCAGTGGGTTTAAATCTGGACTAGAAGAGGGCCAGTCTTCATGCCGGATGAAGTCAATTCCACGAGCGATCAACCAGTCTTGCGTACTTCGTGCCTTATGAGCCGGTGCAGAGTCCTGTTGGAATATCCAATGCCTGTTCCTGAACATTGTCTGAGAAAGAGGTTCCACTATGTTTGTTAGGACAGTATTTTGATAAACTTCGGCACTAGTTCTCACACCTTTTTCACAGAAAAACACCTCAGTTACGCCTGAATATGAGACTCCAAGCCAAACCATGAATGAGGAAGGGTAATGCCCACGCTGGACCCTCGCAATACGCGCGCTTGCTTCTTCACTGCTGTGGGCATACACCTTATCATTTTGTTTGTTAAAACTTTCTTCAATAGTAAAAATTTTTTCATCCGAAAAAAGAATTTCGCGGTATTTTTTTCCCGCGTACCGTCGTAGCAAAGCGCGGGATCTGTCTAGCCTAATTTTTTTTAAACGCTCGTTCAAAAAATGTCCTGTCTTTTTACGATAAGCTCGTAGTCCCAGGTCTTCATTTAGTACTCTTTTAACAGTGGTTCTGCTTAGCCCCATCTGCAGAGCTAGGATTTTTTGTTTACGTACGGGATTTCGTTCGATTCGCGCCTTCACTGCTTTGATGACCTTATGTGTCCGAACTGTGCGAGGTCGGCCGCTTCTCTTACGATCTTCGAAGCTTGACTCTTCGGTGTATCGTTTGATAGTACGATAAACAAACCGTAACGTTATTTTCAAATTTTGAAGAATATTGAAAATGTCTTTTGGCGCGTAACCACAGCGGTGCAACGCGATAACCGCGATTCTGTCTTCTTTATTCGACCACTCCATATTTAAAAATGAATAAAAAATAATTTCTTTTTTATTTTCTACAAGCGCGAAAGTTCTATTTTTAAAATAAGTCGAAGAATTTCTGGCCAGTAATCGAAAATTAAAAATATAAGGTTTTGACAGAACTTATGACCCGACTAAGTATATGGTGGTCACGATTCAGCCAAACCTTTTAGCAAGAGCTCACGAACCTTTTGTTTGAAATTCAAACGACTAGACACCATCCTGATATCAGGGGGGAGCGCATTCCACAGCAAGACAGACTGAACGAAAAAGGAGGAGTGGAGAAAATCAGTACGATGAGTGGGACATTGAAGAAGACGGTTATGGGAAGAACGAAGGTTCTTGCTGTGGTTTGCGCACATGTATTGAAAGTAAGACGATAGATAGCTAGGCGAAAAAGGTGAGGTAAGGAAAGAGAACAGAGTGGTTAGCGCCCTTTGCTCCCTGCGCTGGCGTATGGGCAACCACTTTAATTGCAACCGATGTGCAGAAACATGATCATATTTACGCAGGTTGAAAACGAATCGAATGCAGTTGTTAAGAAGTCGGTCAAGTTTATTGAGTAGATCAGCATTCAGGTCGTAGTAACAAACATCAGCATAATCAATAATAGGAAAAACCAAGGCCTGCACCAGCATCGCTTTCGTAGAACACGGAAGCAAATTCTTTAGTCGATACAGTGTCCGTAAGGATCCAGTGACCCTCTTACATACGCTCGCAACTTGTGCATGCCACTTCAATGTACAGTCAATATACAGGCCCAGATCCTTTACCTCATTGCTTAGCGGGATAGTGGCACTATCAAAGAGAATGTTTGGTAAATTTGCTCGGTTCATTCCGCTTAGCGTACGAGAGCTACCTATAATGATTGCTTGGCATTTTAAAGGATTCACCGCTATGCCAAACCGTTCAGACCAGTTCTTAATAGCAGTCAAGTCGCTATTGATCGTCATAATTGCTTCAGAGAGCCCATCAATATTAGCTGGACAGTACAACTGCAAGTCATCGGCATACAGATGGTACGCACACTGAAGTTCAGAAGTTATTAAATTAATGAAGATGGAAAATAAAAGAGGAGATAATATACCGCCTTGAGGAACGCCAGTTTTCAATTTGCACCAATTAGATGAAAACTCATCAAGCTTAATCGACTGCTGACGGTCCTGAAGATAGGAAGAAATATCTATTTTATTATCATTATCGTCAGATTATTAGTGCTGACTGCTGACCAAAGGCCTCTCCTCACAAGGATAAGGTTTCAGAATTAATCACCACGCTTCCTCAAAGCGGATTGGCGATTCCAAACTTATAATTAGAAATTATAAGTCCAGGTTTCCTTACGATGTTATCCTTCGACATAATATATGTGAGCGGTATTTAAATAACCATAGAAAGTACAAATAATTCAGAAAAGGTCAAATTGGTTCTTTCCTGATTTCGAACCCATCGGACCTTGCGACCGGAACAATTTAATTAATATAGTAATATGTACAGTAACATTGAATTCGTTTGTCAAAATCAAATTATTTTAACCACACAACGCATTTAAACTGTCAAAAAATACTTTTCTTTAGGGGGGAAAATCAGCGAATCTCTTCTCTAGCCCAGAAGGAGTGTCTAACTTACTGAATAAAAACCACCCCGTTACGTCTCCTGCTCTAACTCCTGCTTATTTTGCTCGCCCCGTAACCCCGGCTGATTTGACGATACTTGATGTTCATATTTTTCAATAAGTTTAATATATAATTTGGCGTCACAACAAAGAATCCCGTACTGCGCTGAACCAAGGCCGCAGGAAATGATTGGGCGGGATTGACCCGCAACCATGGCTGACCATCGGCGCTAGTGGGCCACATCTGGCACTGGCGCGTGGTGGACGCAACGTGCCATAATCATATTACTTCAGAAGTCAAGTTTGAAACCACTTTTACTACAAGACACACACGTGGAAGCTTATAATCTAATATCCAACAAATCAAAATCCTTTCAAAAAAGAAAAACATTGTTAAGTGGTGTTGTTGGCACTTTGTCTTAAGTAGTATCAAGAAGATTAATTCTTCTTATGTTAATGTTGAGCCAGAGATCTTCAGCAGATTACAGCTTAAACAAAATCCTTATAAAACTGTAGTACTTATTTAAAATGAGTGCTACCAACTTTTGGCCACAATTCCAGTATTAATACTAAAGAATATACTTTAAAACTTATTCGCCTAAAGACTTTAAAAATATTTAAATCCCACATTGAATTTTAAATAAATTATTGATATTTTGTTATTTGTAATGTCGTTTTTGCTATGTCTTTAATATATCGAAATTCAGCCAACCGTTATGATTCTTAAATGACAATCACTATTCAATGATTATGACCAATCGACTTAAGAAGTAATAATAGTAAATCAGTATTGATCAGACAAGTGACTAAACGCAACCAGAAAATTCTCACATAGGGTTACAATAATGTAGGTATATAAAAATAATGTATTATTAGTAAATTGTAAAACAAATAATAATTTTAAAAAGAGTAACGACGGAGTTTCTTGCTCGTTATACTCCATTCGAAACTACAATTTGGAACGAGCACCTAGCTTCACTGACGAACAGCCTGACAGACTACTGTTCTATTTTGACGTTTCAAAAGTAAGAATAAATAATTTTGATTTGATTTAATTTGAATGGAAGGGTTAAAATAAAACGTGTTATAAATTTCAATTGCCTTATTTTAATTAGAACATAACAACAAACTTAATTAATCATATAATCACAACCGTTCTGATAAACATAAAAAGACCAAAATCAATCATACGTCTACTAGTCTTCTCGTCTATTCGTCGACTAGTCTTCTCGTTTTTTAAATACTCCTCCACATATGTTTCCATCTGAGTTGATAGATGTTTTCGTCGATCCAACTTCTTAAAGCTGAGATCTTGGAGTAGACTCCTGGGTATTCAGGTCGGGCACATCCTAGACCCCACGATACGACTCCAGCTAACTTGTTTTTATGAACTAAAGGTCCGCCGCTGTCACCCTGCAAATCAATGTATTATTAGTAGATTAATAATAGTTATCGTTGATGCCAGCTGCTTATCCGGATTATTTTCGCACTTTCAAAATTTGTGCAAGTATGAAATTTTATTTCGAGGGCGTTACACAATAAAAAAATAATCGTTGATTTTGTGAGTTATTCCCAATTGATGGAGATCCAAATTTTTGTTTAAGAAGTAAATATTACATTTATGACTTTTTTTGGCACGATCATGCCTGGTGGAAAATGGGACCTACGGTGGAGCTGGCCAACCTATAAGCAACCTATTCAATCCGACATTGAAAACACCTAAACTAATATAGACTCCGGAAAACAATATCACTGCTTAACGGATCTAGTAATAAAACTAGAGAGAAGTCGCTTCGTGACTATTCTATTTCTTTAATAATTTATAGACTAGCAATATAACCAGTGTGGGAATGAAAATATTTGGAGTGATGTGAGTTAGGGTACCGCAGAAATAATCCCTTCCCATCCCCCTTCCCTTTCCCAATCCTTAAATATCCGAAAGTCTTATCCCCAAAAGGTTGGCAACGCACTCGTAACTCCTTTGTTGTGGCGCTGATTGCTTACCATCAGGTAATCTGTCGGCTTGTTTGCCGGCTTAAAAAAAGCTATGATCAAACATACCTGGCAAGCATCCTTTCCACCTCCGAGTGCACCAGCGCAGAGCATGTGACCAGTTATAGCATACAATGGTTTGTAAGCATTATTGCATATTCCGTCATTGATTTTCTGAACTGTTACCCTCTGCAGTGTGCTTGGCATGCCACCAATTTCCTAAAAAAGAAATAAATATTTTAAGAAAATGATTGACCATGTACAGGTGCATGCGTGACGATGCGGGTTTTATAATTCTTTTGATAACGGTGAAGGATAACGTCGCTACGAAACCTGGACTTATAATTTCTAAATATGAGTTTGAAATCGCCAATCCATCATCCATCCTTAAGCACGCGTGGTGATAAATGCTCAAACCTTCTCCGTGTGAGAAGAGGCCTTTGCGTTTGCAACGGGCACTTATAGGCTGTTGATGTGTTTGACAATGCGAAAATTGATCCAAATTATTGTAATGTTTATGAAAAACAACCGCTCATAAGCTAAATAGTTGTTAAAACTATTATTCAAATAAGTTCGATAAGCTTCACTAAACCAGCAAACTTGGTTTTCTACAAGTAAGGCAATCTGAATCAAATATCAATCTAAAAATCACTTACATAAAGATTACCCCATCCAGTTACAATCGTATCGGCGCCATCATTTATTTCTTCGCCTATTCCCATTAAATTTACTGGTCTTATTTTGTCACTGAATACCAAAGGCTTTGACAGCCAAAGTATGGCAATGTCACTGTCCATTTTGCCATAATCAAAGCTAGGATGCCAGACTATGTCTCCAACTGGATATAATTGACCTTCCTTCTCGCTATACGATGATCCAGCACGAATTTGGTATTCCTCTGGGAATGTTCTGGAAAATAATGAAAATGTTGAAAAATAATGCCCAGTATTAATTTGCTAAGAACTATCTTATTATTTGGTTTCTGGACTATTGTACTTGATAGATAAATAATACCCAAAGAAAAAGACTGTGAAGAAGGAATACATGCTTTAATTTCTTAAATGTTTGAGCGCTATGAGGTCTGCAATAGAGATAATTACTCAGTCGGAAATAAATTGTCTTCACTAATAAATCCATCAAGTTGAAAAAATGACGACGCTCCTATTGCTTGATTTAAATTTAAACTGAAAAGTGGTGAAATATTAAGTATATTCCATTTGACGAAAACAATTATGACGGCAAAATTTTGGAATCCCATAGAAATTATATCATAGAAAATTAATTTTAGGGTTGATGACAATTGGTCATTGTCATCAACCCTAAAATTATGGCAATTGTTTCACACTAGAGACATACAGACTCATGACTATTCTGGTATTAAAAATATGCAGTTGTGTTCAAATTGAAGAGCTATCTAAATAAAAAATCATTCAGAAAAAATTAAATTGTGAACCAATTTTTTGTGTGTGAGAAGAACAATATATGCGCAAACGCCGACTTTCGTTTGGTGTTTGATGAATTAATAAACGTCTTGTATTATTTTGGAATTACCAATTAACTTACCCCATAACACAATGAGCAGCAGTGACAATAATGTCTTTAGCGACGATGGTTCCTCCACAAGAGTGTCTGCCCCTCCTCACTAAAGACACCTGGTATGGTGCATCAGTTATTTCGATACTCTCACCTCCAACGATTTTGAGATCCTCCAAGGATTTTATCGTGGGGCTTGAAACTGAAAAAAAAATATGCAACTTCACAGTTTTTTTTGGTCCAGTTAGTTTGTCAATGGTGAGAAAATAAGTCATTGACAAAGTAGTGGATATTTTTAAAAACTTTGATATTTTGAGTTTGTTCTGAACAAACATTTGCATTTATTTAAGCTTCAGTGATGGACAGACCAATAGACATACTAATGTGTCTTAAATTTTTTAACAAATGGTTATCAAGTTAGGTTACAATTTGAATCGTGGATATTTTACAGTAAAAAGATAATTGAGTTTATGAAACTTAGTATTTCTAAAAATAAGAAAGGACATCGAAACATCCGAAAAACAAACGGTTGTTTGAAAAAATAAATTTTAAAAAGAACAACGATTCCAGATTTTGAAAAAAGGAACACAACATATTCGAAATTTTAAATTAAGAATCTAAAAGGAACTTACCGACATAACTGACAAGACCCAAATAGATGAAGAAAGAAATCATGATGGAAGATTCACCGCTACCACACCTACTACTAATCGTTCGTAATTATTGACAATATATACCTGACGAATTACAAAAGACGTACATACCTATATTAAGGTCAACGTAATTTAACTGATAGCACCAACCTTCACTGAGCACTCGACTGATAAAATTAAATCTCAAGTTTTGTTTGTTTACACAATTTGTATATTGTCTACTGTTAAAAGTAGGTGAAGTTTATGTTTGTTTAAATTTTTAGGGTTCCAAAGTTATAATTAGAATGCATTTTTAGTTCCAAGTATAGAGAAATAACAATAAAGTTGTAAGTAGAATGCTTTTTTTACTTGTCGCTGAGTAGCTGACTGACAAGCTGATAAACCATTTTTGTTTCCAAGGGATAGAAAAGCGAAATGACAATCAATTTGTGAACACACTTCTCTGCCTCCACTTGAAGCTGATATCTAATTGATCCAGAAGAAGACCAAGAAGAATTGTTCTTAACAACCTAAGGTACTTAAAAAAATAAGAGCTAAGTGAAACAATATATATCCAAAGAGAGCCTTTCTCGTACATACAAATAAGATGAAATAAAAATTTGAATAATAAGGTCTAATTCCAAAATTCGAATTTTGAAGTAGTGAAACTCTTTACCTATAGGTAATTTGTATTGCCAATGCCCCTCGTTGATTTCTAAGACTGGACACAATTAACCCTACAGCTATTTTTATTTCGGAAACTCTAGACGGGTCAAATGAGGTCCACGCACAAGCGCTAATTAAAGTTCATGAACATTGTTCATTATTGGCAGCACGTGACAGTTCATTGCCGTACTATTGGGTTCCTTTACATACCATAGACTGGTTGGCTACAAAGCGTGAAGGCAAACTCATGGAAATTGCTTGGCAGTTGGCAGCTTAACAGGCTAAGTGTGAGAGGAGTGTGTGTATGTGAAATTGTACCTATGTTTGTAAATGCACCTACAACGCAGGGATCCTAGTGTTGGGCAACGTTTTATTTAAAAAGAAAAAAAGATTTAAGTTTAAAGTAATGGGCTGCTGCCTAGTCTATAATAATATTGTTTTTTATATCCTCTAAGTTATTTAGCCATCTTTTTAGATACCCCTAGCAAAATATAGTAAAGAATAATTTTCTCTTATTAATTAAACCAATAAAACTATTTATAGAATATACAACAAATGTATTGTTCTTTTGTTTGTTCGTAATGCTCTTCAACAATACGAGGAATACAAAAGTTATTATTTAATATTTGATTGGAGAACAGCCAATCTGATATTTGTATTTATTTTTCTTCGAAACTACTTGATAGTGTCTATCTATCAATAAGCTTAGTCATGAAAGGCCACGTTTTGTACGAAGATAGGATAGACATTTGTTAGGTTATTAATATTATTTATTTATTTCTTTGAAAAGTACGGTATAATAAAACCAATTACACTACTTAATTCGCAAGTATAATACACACATAACAAAAAGAAAAAAATATATATAATGTACATCTGTGTGTTTCTTTCACGTGAATCTAAATGTGATGGGACAATTATCCCTGTATGCACTATGAAAGTGCACTATTCTGAAATGTGGTTAAAATTGATACGGTTATATATAGGTATAGTTAGCTATAGACTAGTGTATATGATAACTATGGAAATACTAGACATTATAATTGCTGTATCCCCTCACCTCTCTCGCACAACTTCAAGCATTACAACAAAAATAGTCTTCTTTGGCTTGTGTATACATCACACTCTGTCTGCATCTGGGAATCTGTTTCAGTTTCATCATGGCCAGTAATGGGCATTTAGCTATACCGACTTTTCTGTGGGATGGTTTGACAATGGTTTGAGGAATCCGTCCACTCTTTTGCCGTAGTTACAAAGAAAAGCAAAACGATTTTCTGGAATATATTTTTAAAATATGTACAATATTTTTTATCACTTTTAAATTTCAAATATCGAAAGAAATAAATTGACATCTGCGAGTGAAGCCATAGTCATTAAAGGATTTTATGTACCTATGTAAAAGACTCAAAATCATTTTAAGTAAATACTCGAGCTTATTCTTAAAGAAATACTTTTCTTTACAATTAAATGAGAGGTAAAAATATATATCTGAGATAAATATTTTAAATAAAAAAATATTTATAAGGATGATACGAGTAAGTAGAATTTTCACATGCATAAAGAATACTTAAATCTGCAAAGTCAAACGTTTTTTATAAGAAAAAATAAAGGACTCTAAGAATAAATTAAAATAAATTAAATAGTGATTTTAAAACTTTGTCTGTACTATAAATTGAGAGCAATAACTGTAGCTCTTGATTCACAGTTCACTGAAGACTGCCAAAATCATTTGTCACGGCATTTAATTCAAGAGTGCCAAAATTTCTATAGCAGTAGGATCATATCCTTACCATTAAGATGGTAAAAAGTTATCGAACAAATTAAATGGTACCTACATAGTGTTGTTTTTTGATATGATCAATCTATATCAAAAAACGTTTTGAATTTTCTTAAAAGAAAATTATAAAAATTGGTATTAAAAAGTGCGTTAAAAAATCCATGACGGCCCAAAAGTTTCATCAGGATGATTTAAAACATGGCAACTCATGTGATTATTTCCGAGTTATATGGACTTTCTCCGTTTTTTAGATACCACCACTTAGTAAGAACAAAGCTTACTCTGTAGATACCACAGACCTACAGCGAAAGAAAACGTCGTATAAGAAACCTGGATTAAAAATTTCTAATCATATCTTTCAAATCACCAATTGACCTTGAGAAAGACTGGTGTTTAATGCTTAAACCTTCTCCGAGTGAGACAAGGGCTGTGCTCAGCAGTGGGCACTTATAGACTAATGATATGTGTGTGAGACATGTATGTGTTATAGGTTAATTATTACCCTTACAGTATCCTATTTTTTGAAACACTGTTTGTATAATGTATACGGAACACTTCCACGCAAATAAATAAGTCGTGCCTTTGACCGCATTCCCCACATTGTTTGTATGCATAATTATAATCTTATCAAATGTATTGCATCAACTAATTGAGTAACGAAAGTTCTTTCAAAATATTTCCATTGTTATCTGATAAATGGATAAATGATAATAATTGTTATTGGGTCAAGGTTACGGTAATGTGTAATTGTGACATTTACTCAGTTAGAAAATTAATCTTCATTGTTACGAGTAGCCTGGCATTTGTCTTATCTTCGTGTTTAAGGGGAACATTGATGGTCGTGTTTTGTTTTTTGGTGAAGATCACGACAGCCTTGGCGACCAAGAATTCAATGTGTAACGTATCACTCCAGTCGGCTCGACTGGAGAAATACCACAGTATTTGTTTTAAGTCTCTTTTCCTTTACAATTCCCAAACAAACTAAATATTCCCACATTCTGTGGTATGTGTCCATAAGCGGTACTGATTTCTTTCCATCAGATCAGGGGTATTTTAGTCAGTAAGAGCACACTGTCTCTTTCGCCTCACCCTGGCGAGAGAAATCATTAGATGATGTTTGTCTCACAAAAAAGAACTCATTCGATTATTTTAACTTCTAAACAAGGGGCGATCCTTCGTTGGTGTTTTCTATCAGTTATATTTGCTTTGCAAAATGGCTGTTGTGATATGGAACTTGAAACGTCATCTGTTTAGCTTTTGAATGTGTATCGCTACAGACTTACTGGAATACTAGCAAGAACGTACATCCAAAGCTTACATTACTTTTTTCTGGGTTTCATGAAAAGAAACAACTAACTAACACAATAACACCCAAGATTTGAGCCGTAAAACATTTGGTATTGGATACTTTAGGATAGAATAAATGCAGCAATCAAACTATCTTTGTCAAAAATCTCAGGATATTTTCGATTTCACGTATTTGTTACTATAAGCGCTGTTTACTGAAACGGGACATCTTACGAACTATTTCGAGAACTTTTTCGGCTCGGGTAGTTTTTGTTCAAAAGTTTTTGGGTAAGAATAACTTACCCCTTTTCCTGGGGGTGGAGTTAGACAAGTTTACTTGGTCAGTTGGTTGAGGGTATGGAAGATAAATATAACTATGTATAGTGCTGTGAAACGAAAGGATGGAATGGTACTAAAGCTGGTTGGTACCTATTGACCGTTATAGAAGTTGAATATTGAAGAATTTTTCATCTAATGTTGTATCTTAGGACAAAATATTATCTGTAACAATAGGCTTTGATATGAACTTCTGGATTGATCTCATGTTTTTTGTTCTTAGTGATTGACCTTTATTTTTACGCTAAGCGGCTACGTTTAAGATCAAGTATAAAAAGTAGAATTGGTTTATTTAATTTAAGAAGGTCAATTTCTATCAAAAGCGCCTTAAAATCGTAAGCGATCTTGATTGAAAACCTGAATTAATTTCTTTGTATCGAAACTGGAACAAAATGGACATTGGACTTATATAATTTTAATGTAAGAAGAGGCGTTGGCTCAGCCTTGGGCATCATTGATTGCCTATCATCAGGTGATCCGTAAGCTCAATTCAAAAAAAGAAAACCGTCACTTTACAGCTTAAGTCTTCAAGTGAACATTAATAGAAAATCTTATTAACACCAGGTAATGCTTAGTATCATTCAAACCCAAATCCAATCACGATCGTTTACGTACAAATTCAGTACTTATTACATTATCCAGTTTGTTGATATGGGAACACAGTGTCTACTAAATTGAATTGTGTCTCGACCACATTCTAGCAAACAGCTTGAGTTTATACTACTCATAAATGTCGGTTAGGATGAAAATAGAGATAATACTAGATAATACTAGCTTTTGACTGCGATATTTTACATGCAAAACTTGAAACTTTCGGATACTTTTTTGGAGAGTGAATATCAGCGAATATCTTTTCCGGCCTTTTTGTTTCTTGATGGGGAAAATCATCAAATACTAATAACTTCTCTTGTCCTTTGTGAGGCGAGAGAAAGTGCCAGACTCTTACTGACTAAAATCTACCCCGTTTTTGTCCTGTTCCAGGCTGAGGTCGCGATACCTTATCGCACTTGCCCGATAGGCTCGTCTGAGCATCGGCCCTGTTGGGACCCATCAGT